AGATCAGGATACATAAATTCCTTTTGGGATGAATTTCTAATTTTATATACACTTTCCTTTCTTCTGAGTAACCTTTGTAATTTCTTTTGGCAAAAGGAACCATATTATTAATTGATATATTGTTTTCATTTTGAATATCATTCCTCCATATTACGTTTTGCCTCTTTACATTCAACATCATACCATTGTCTTTGTTAATACATTTGATTTATTTTTGTAAGTCTTTGTTAAAAATTTATTGACGGTTTGTAAAATATCAGAGTGCTTTGGTTTCAGCACTATCTTGTGGGCTGGAGGTTAACATAATTTGTTTAAAGCAGTTTGAATATTTAAGTACAAGTAGCATGTTGAACACATGTCACTGTTGGGATGCCAGCGTCTTCTACCCCTGTATGTAGAAAAGGTTACACTTTTGGCCTTATGAGTGAGTGAGTGAGTATGGTTTTACACCGCTTTTAGCAATATTCCAGCAATATCACGACACCTGAAATGGGCTTCACACATTGTACCCATGTCGGGAATCGAACCCGTGTCTTCGGCGTGACGAGCAAACCACTAGGCTACCCGACCGCCCCTATTTGGCCTTATGAATAAATATGCCAAAAACATATAGTTAAAACACTATGTATCCATTCTTTGTTCTCCTCACTTCTTTTAAAAGAGCAAACCCAACTCCCTGAGCCTCTTACTGTGCTGACCATCGGCATAAATCTACACCACGTGGTCTAATGGAGGCTGACATTTTGCCTTGGATTATATAGTCACGATATGGCTAAAATACTGCCGATGTGACTCCAACATAATTATAACCAATCTCCTCGTCAGCGTGAAATATCCTACTCTGCTGTATGCACACGTCCCCGTCAGCGTGAGTGACTACATAGACTAGCTAACAGCCAGCGGGACTGCACACATGTCGTGCTTCAGATGAACGGTGTCGGACAAGCTCACGATCCCTAAGTGTGCTTTGCGCCGCTTGGTCAGTTGGCAGGCTTATATATTTCACAGAACTATTGACTCTCAACAAACTGTACAACACAATATTCTACATAAACTTTTTTCCCGTACAGAGAGGGGCCCGCAAGCCTCAACTGATATTGTTAACAGTGTTTGAACAATCGTCATGTATTTATAAAAAGTGCCAAGACATCACTTGGTTTTAGTGAGTGAGTATGGTTTTACGCCGCTTTTAGCAATATTCCAGCAATATCACGGCGGGGGACACCAGAAATGGGCTTCACACATTGTACCCATGTCGGGAATCGAACCCGGATCTTCGGCGTGACGAGCGAACGCTTTAACCACAAGGCTACCCGACAGCCCCACTTGGTTTTAAGACATGTAATGAAACAACTACAAACATGACAAGCGACGTACAAGCCCATTTTCGGTCATGAATGGACGACCAGCAGGGTACAATAACTTTCCACAGAAAGGAAACAAGCAAAGATTAATTTATGAAAGTAAATCATTGAAAAACTTCATAATGTACATGGAAATAATTTGAAGTTAAAGCTGATATTTAGTTAATCATTTTGAAAACAACTGAGACAATATAATACAGACTCGGAAGATGAACTGTTCTCTTATTACAAGAGGGCGTAGGGCAGTAGTGTAGCCTCGTGGGTAAAGTTCGATTCCCAACATGTAGTAAATGTGTGAAGAAGCCCCTTTCTGGTGTCCAACGCTTTGATATTGCTAGAATATTGCTTAATGTGGCGTAAAACCATACTCGCTCACTTACAGAAAGATAGTTTTATTCAGATTGAAATAGATTGAGAACAAGTTATTTAACTTTGGACTATATCTACCTGTCTTTTTACAGTATTGTACAGTAAATAATAAACAAGGGAAACCGGAACGAAGATATCAGTGTATCGATATATAGAGGAATGTACAAAAGAAGGACCAGGATTTACATTCATGAGTAACCCAAATCACTTTGTATGACTTATAAACATTTGCACCGCTTTGACGATATTTTGATTTTTGATAATGGACAAACTTTCATTTGGGTTTAAAATCAAACATAAATCTAATTTAACATTGGTGTTCACGGCGTTTTACATATATTTCCTTTGGTGGTAATACAATGCACACTAATGAATAATGGTATGAGTTTTCACATTGATTTCCATATTGACATACTGGATCACTGTTGTTCCACATGTATATTCTGTATAAAGCATAATTTAACTGACTTTTTAATTATCTTAAGTGACTATATTCAACATTAAAAATAATAAGGTGGAACATATTGCTCTTTCTGCATGCATGACTTGAACTGGGATATAGATGTACAATTTCTACTTTCTGCAGGAATGGTGTTCCATAAACTGACAATTGATGGAATATATAATAAAAGAACACGTTGAGTGTTTTATATCGACCTTATTAGGTACAATAAAGTTACTAAAAATGTACCTGTGCATTTCTTCCTTTGAAGAATGTATTTTAGAGCTGTTAAAATGACATTTCCTGTGAAAATAGAGCTGTGATCTGGTAATCTTGAAGATATTGTCCTGGATCCAATAACAGGGGAACTTACAACTGCGCCACCATTATTGGATAAATTTGTGAGTGTGACATGTGTTTTGTAATTGTTTGTTTTCTCTTTGGTTGGTTGTAAGTAGTTGGTTTGTATTTGAGTTTTGTTAATGTCATTTGGTTTTACCAGGTGTCAAGGGGGCGATGACGAAGGCTGAATGGAGGCCATACCTTGAAGGTTAATATTCGAAGCTGAAATGGTAGATTTGATTCTGATTCTGAGTGGTGGAATAAACTGTGAATGCTCAATGTAAATATCTTCGAAAAGAGAATTAAATACGCAATCAAGAGCTGGATTGGACTGATTAGAATATAATTTGTATTGTGGGGATAATTTCAGACTGCATTGCTTAAGGGATGGTTAATCCGCTTCCACATGCAGACTATGTATGGGAGATTGCCTTTCTGATGGACAGTATCTAGTTATTATAAATAACCTTTATTGCTCCAACATAGACGATGGAGCCTTAATCAAGGTTTGAACGGAACAAATATTCACACTACATGTTGTTTGTTGATAACAGAAATTCTGGCCTAATCCTACTAAATCATTTAAAGTACTATTGGTATTTCCAAATACCAAACTAATCCATTGTTTACCATTCGTTCTAAGGTTTTGCCAACGCAGCTGGTTAAATATATTGTGTGGTAATTTGGGGGATCTGTATGATCCCGGCCAGGTTTTGGTATGGGGACTACAATGGCATTAAGCCACGAAGGATGAAAGTTCCCTGACGTCCATATTTGGTTAAATATATCAAAACGTATCTTAAGACATGATTCAGAAAAATGCTTCAATATCTGACAGTGGATATTATCATCCCTGCTGCAGTATCATGAGCATGCCAAAGAGAGGCATGTTGCTCATGTGGTGCAATTTCATTGTAATTTTACCATGGTTTGATTGATGGTGTCTGATTGCAGGCGAAGGGAAGGGCAGCATCTGGTGAAAATGAGATGGCGAACGTGCTTGATAATGACATTAGTGGCATCGTGATTCTGCCTTTGTAGGTTGTGGGTTGTATGGAATGACCCATGGAACACTCGGGGCATTCATGGCCCTATAAACGTATGGTTATACACTGATAATACCATACAATATATGCAATAATGCTACCAAATAATTTTGGCCTTTGAATATGACAGAGGATCGCCGAGAAGAGTCACAGCAGAACCCGTTCTTATGATCTCAGTCCCCTGCATCTGGTCTAGTGGTTGGTGATTGTGATATTGTATTGTCTATGAACCTAGTGATTGTCCCGTACCATCCTGTAAATACACTGTAAAATATGATTCTCAAACAAGGGCATAGGTGACCAGGGCGGCCCTCTGTCAGCTCCCTGATCGGCCCAGTCGTCTAAGGCGCCGCGATTCGCTGTGCAGAGTTGCTCCCGTGGGCACGCCAGACACCTATGATTGTGGGTTCGAATTCCGGTTCGCCACAATTATTTTTCTAGGTTTGTAAACGTCTGAGACCTGCATCACTTCGGGCTTTTCCCCCACATTAAGCTGACACGCCGTGATGTAACTGGAACACGGCGTTAAACCCAACTCACTCACTCACTCTATTGGTCAGGATATAATCATCAAGGTGCTGAGTGTTCAACACCTGCTTGACCATTGTGATCTTTGGTTAAAGGGATCATTTAAATGGTACATGTTCCATTGGAAAAGCAGCCTTCTATTACTGTCTTTTTGTAACGAATGCGCACCACATAATTACGTTGCTGTCCCATCGACAGGTATAACAAGAGGAATGGGGGTTTCTAATAACCAGTGAATAACAGGTGTGTGTGTTTTGGGTCTTGCATAATTAGGGGGAAAGCAATCCGGCAACTCCACTACCTCGTACACAAGCCTGAGTCAGAGTTTGGCCAGCCTTGTCGTCGTTACATTCTGCAGACTAGGTTCATCACCGCATCTTCTCGAGACTCTTACACAATGTGTGGTTTCGCCATCTGGCACCGCGTGTTTTGCGGATGTTGATAATGAACTGATGAATGCAGTTTTTTGTATTTACCTTATTATAATGTAAATGTAAGATCGGTTATGAACTCCACCATGTAAACACGGAACACGTTGCATGTATGCTCTGTCGTCGCCAAACAGTATTTACACTGCACAGCTATCCCATGTGTTTTATGTTGTTTGTTTATTGTGATACGGCTATTTCGTTGGGATATCACGATATCTCAATGTTAATATTATCAGTTTCAATGTCATGAGGGCGTTTGGGTAGCCTAGTGGTTAAAGCGTTCGCTCGTCACGCCGAAGGCCCGAGTGCGATTCCCCACATGGGTACAATGTGCGAAGCCCATTTCTGGTGTCCCCCGCCGTGATATTGCTGGAATAATGCTTAAAGGGGCGTAACCATACTCACTCAATGTCATGAACATTGGCAAAAAAAACAAAAACACAATATCTTTATTTTGTAGGGTCACAATAGCTCTATTAATATTTATTGGCAAACGGACTTTTCATGACTTCGTACTCTTAGTATTCAAATATGTCCACGTGGTAGTTAATGAATTAGACATAAACATAGATAATTGCAGTCGACTATGTCATTCATACATTCACACTAACGACAAAGTGATTACTGTAACACCATAAATAAATGCAAAATAACAAATAACAGGCATCTCAAACGCAAAACCAATTATTATAATTCATGGATGTTGGTTGGCTGATTGTGTCATACTAACTGTTTACATGCTGATAATGTACGTCATGTCTCGGTGTCAGCTGTCTGATCATGCCATCATCTTCCCGAGGCAAGGGCTTTAACTGACTATAAAAGTCCAGTTTCCACCCGTGCCGTACTAGGCTGGAATTCCGGAGTTATTTTTTGGATATGAGAGGTGCAATCTGATTGGTCAATAGGAGGGACGTAGAAGGGACATAGCTCGTTATAGTACTGGTGGCACGACGATCGAGCCAGGAAACTATTTTGTATTTATTCGTATACAAGAAAACCTTACAGGAGTCAGCCACGTATTGTTGTGAAACGTCTTGTCACTTGGTCCATTGATATACTTGATCCTCAAGGAATTCTGTTACCTGACACGGTAAGTCCGAGGACATCACATCACGATCTTTTGAGTCTGTGCACGTCGTAAAAGCTACTCATCTGGGAAGACAGATATACGTCCCGAAATGCGCCTGACGAGAAACAAAGTGTGCCGTTAAGTACAAGGTTTAGAAGACACTTTTATAACATGAAACAAAATCGTTTACACAGGGGATTTCATATTTCAACCCTGTGGGGTTGAGATAAGAATAAGTAGAGAGCGCTCTATGTGTTTACCTAAGAAGCGACTAAATTAGATTGGGCGTCCCGGCTATTTGACGTAGCCGAGGGCATGCCATCGTACCTCGATGACGTTGAATGTTGCTCATGCTTTCATTCACTGGTTTTCCTGGTCTAGATTCAATATTTGTTACAGGGCTCATTGTTAAGAAACATTCACTCGTTCATTCATGTCACATGTTAACAGATTAAAAGTAACTGATCAGTATAGATCTGGTGTCGTCACAACAGCGCCTTTCCTCTGTCATGGGGTATATACTCAAACTCATATTCTACCCTTAAAGGGCAAGTTCACACGGAAATTAACCTATTTTTCTTGTACTTTTTCCACATTAAAAGTGTTAACCTAGAAGTGTCATAGACAAAAATATAAAAATATCACAATTAATTAACATATTTTTCGCATTAAAACGATTTATATTTTTCACATTTACCAAGTGTTCTATTTCCACAACAAAAACACCATGGCTTATGCCCCTTGCAATATGACGTCATTGGTGCCAATTGATAAACATTATGACGTCATCATGCTTTGTTAGAGCCGCTTCACGTGGTGTAGGTCTAGGTGTGTGATTCTAGCGTCTCAGATGCCAGCCAGCATAGTGTTATGCTGAGTCACCACTGCGCCGGAGTGTGTCGTAGGCCATGTTGTTTTACCGCAAACTGGTACTTGATATCTTTTGCGTTGAGAATAGACAGGGACCCAGTTGAATTGGCACCAATTACGTCATAATCTAAGGGGGATAACTCAGGCCTGTTTAGCTCGAAAAACGAAGGCCTCATAACGGCATATCATTTTCACACTATTGTGAGCTTTCTACTTTCACTGTGAAAAAAATGAGTGTATATTTTCAAACACAGATACTAATTAATTCTAAAATTGCGTTTTGTTTAGAAAAAGAAAGAAAGTGATTTTTGCGTGTACACTTCCCCTTTAATATTAAACTCAGGGGCATGATGGCCCAGTTTTCAAAGACAAAGACATTCACTGTGCCTAGTTGCTTCCTATTAGACCCGTGAAGATCCGGGCTAGAATAGTTCTTCAGCAACCCATGCATGCTGTAAAAGGCGACTATGCTTGTCGTAAGAGGCGACTAACGGGATCGGGTGATCAGGCTCGCTGACTTGGTTAATGCATGTCATTGTATCCCAATTGCCTGGATCGATGCTCATGATATTAATCACTGGATTGTCTGGTCCAGACTCGATTATTTACAGACCGCCGTCATATAGCTGGAATATTGCTAGGTGCGGTGTTAAAACCCCCCCCCAAAACCAACCATCCCAAAACCTTTCAAGAATCCCTTGGTCGTGGGTCTGAATCAAAGATCATAATTTAATGCGGTGTCACTATCTCTATGGCGTGCGTTACCTGCATTGTAGCACAGGGGAGGAACAGAACACCCGTATGAGGAATTCCCTGTTTATTCCTCTTTTCTCTGTGGAGGGGACTGCAAGATAGCGCCCTGGTCTGAGTGTAAAGCGGAAGTTGGTGTGCAATCTCTGATTGTAGACGTTGTTGCCAAGCGTGTCTTCCATCTTGAGAACATAGAGCCTTTTTTTTCTCTCATCAACACGATTTATCTGCGAAACAAAAGAGTGAGTGAGTGAGTTGGGTTTGACGCCGCTGTCAGTATTTCAGTTAATCACGGCGTGTCAGCTTAATGTGGGAGGAAAGCCCGAAGTGATGCAGGTCTAAGACGTTTACCACGTCGGTGAAACCGACGAGCATGGGTATGGTGATGACAAACCTAGAAACATAATCAGGGCGAACGTGGATTCGAACCCACAATCATAGGTTTCTTGCGTGCCCAAGCGACGCAGCTCTGTACAGACGACTGGGCCTCCCGTGCCCCCGCGAAACAAAAAGAGGGTTATGTAAACAGTATAGAGGGCACGGGTGGAGCAGGTGACATGTGTCGCTGTTTGTTTGTTGTGTAACGCTGCACGCAGCAATATTCCAGCCATATGACGGCGGTCTGTAAATAATCAAATCGGGACCCGTGATTGATATCATGAGCATCGGTCCACGCAATTTGGATACAATAGAATGCATCATCAAAGTCGCCTATTGCGTCAAACATTGGTTGCTGAAGACCAATTCTAACCCGGATCTTCACGGGCGGAGCCGCTGAGTAGAGTTGCGTCATTTGGATGTGTTCCAGATACGTCCTGGTTATTTGTGCTTGCCTTCTCGTCAACGAACACATGATTTGTTGTTTTTACAAAGTGTCAAATGTCTCCGACATGATGCATCTCCTCATGCTTCCCCTTTTACCATCTAGAACTGGATCGGTCATAACACAAACAGATGGAGCAACAACGACAGGAAATATGTTTCCTTGTTTATTCTTCACTTCGGGATATTTGGGACAGCATATTTCAAGGCTATACATTAACTGACTCCTTGTAATCTGATTACATGTCAAGGACTGTAAATAATGCGTTAATAAGTGTGAAACACGCAATTTAAGGTAGCAACAGGTTGATGTTCATTCAACAGAGTTGAGTGTTGGGATTATGGTTTGGCATCTTTTATGATGAGCAGCTGCATCATTTCTCCCAATATTAACAGGTCCTCAGTTTTGTAAATAAAGAAAAATAAAGAACACTTTAATACGCAGTAAGGATACGATGACATGCATCAACCAAGTCAGCGAGTCTGACCACCCGATCCCTTTAGTCGCCTCAGCAACGGCCAGCACGGGCTGCTGAAGACCTATTCTACCCCGGATCTTCACGGGTCTCCTAGTCATGTACGAGGAACGTACTTTTCTTGGTTAGTCACAAAAAGACATAGGTTACTTACCATAAACAGATCACAACGCATGCCGTCAGTGTGTATATGTTCCGTGTTTTGTACCAGTTGCAAAAACAATGGAAGATACCCGTCTTTATTCAGTTCTGCAATGGAATATACAATCGATCAGGTTTAATCAAAATGTCATCATCGACTTTCACCCTCGTTGACTAAACTGTGGAAAGAAACACATTTTCGAGGTCTCCAGACCCGGTTGGTTGTTTTAAAAGTGTTCGTGGCGAGAAGGTACTGTCAAAATGAAATCAAGAAAATAGTGACCTGTGGAAATCTTCGTAGCAAGAAATCTAAATCGGCATGGCTAATACGGGAAGAGTGTCCCTATCAAGGTACAAGTCCCTGTTCACTGACAAAACGGCCATATTTTCATGTAAAAATGATATTTTATTTAATAAAATTTGACATTTTGATAGAACCAATACCAAGAAATGATGGGCTGCGATATAGGAACATACAAGTTTCGAGTGTCTTCTCTGCCAATGTTTGCTACATTTATTCTGAAAGGGAACAATGAAAGGCGATTTCACATGCCGCTCACTCAGAGATGTATGAGTTGGGTTGGGTTTCTTTTTAACAATATTCTGTCTGCTTGGCAATGTCACAGAAACTAACCCAGGGTCACCCATGTCAAGACTGACAATATTTGGGATTTGCGTATGGCTGAGGTGATGAAACAAATAACGGATAAGAGACCACAACACACGATAATGTCAACAACACTGTAGTCCTTTCACACTTTTAAAGTGGACTTTTTTGAAAGTCAGTCACGATGCAATGAAACGCTCTGGGAAAATGTAAATGGAAAGTCTGTGATGACGCTAAGAATGTGATTGAACGACTGACAACATTGACATTGAATCTGTAAGAGGCCGACCTGAAGTATTGTGGCACAGCCATGTTATGGAGTGATTGCGAAATTTCCAATGTGAGGGACAAAACTGTCTCGCCAGAACATACTGTGGGCTTCGGGAAGCGTGTTGTGTCGTTTGTACCCTAGAGGGGGTGTTACATTGGCGACCAGGATGAAAAAGACTAGCACAAGAGTGCTAGAACAGTTTGGTTGCTAAACTGACGGGATTTCGCTAATCCGGACTGCTCGAGATACCTCCTGAGAGTACACACCCATGTGCAAACAAGAGAAATGTGGCTACTGCATACATACATTCACTCCTGAACATGGATGAAACAGCCCTGCATCTACACATGTTTGAGATGCGGGTGCAGAAACCACTATCGGGGAATGTGTCAAATTGAGCTGGAAGAGACACCATCAGCAGAAGACAATGGACATAAAACATGGAAGAGGAAACAGAAACCTGAATGCCAAAGAAGGAAAGGAAATGTTAAGAAAATGAGCAAGCAGGAAAATTCAACAAGTTCGGATGAAGAAATATTTCAACAGTCACTTTCAACATATAAATGTTATTAAGAAAAGTTGACAACAAAGGGAAAACAGTGAAGCTTGATGTTGTTGGAAGCAGATAGCCGTCGAAAGATTAGGTCAATTCCATGGTATGACTGGATACCTATAGTAGTTCATATCAAGATATGCCAGTTCCTCTGAGTTTGGTTTCTATTAGAAGTGATAGCACAGTAGCATTTAGTAATCCGTGAAAACCCATCTCCATGAGTGAGAGGTGAAGTGAGCTTCTGCAGGACTTGAGAACAGTTGCAGCCGGTACCCTACATCAACAGGGTTATGACTTACAAAGAGAAACGATACAGCCAAACAAAAACAAAATCCACCAGGAGATGACATATACCTCGGTCTGGTGCAATTCGGAAATAGAGATTCGCAACTTATACCCCACTTTTGGTTCATTGCCATTGGATACCTTCAGTTCAGTGAAGAAAGACAATAATGCGGTTCAAAATTGTTCAATATCCCAAATCACCAAAAGGCACTAGTTCACCACGAGAATGATCAGTATGGCAAGATTCGTCTGGATTATTCAACGGTTTTTGCTCCGGAAATCACTACCTTCGTTTTCAGCAAGGTCAAACTTGGTGTCATGAAAACTAAAATGAATAAAAAAGCCCTCAAATCATCAAAAGTCACCAATTCTCCACTAGACTGATCTGTATGATCTGTATCTGTATCAAGTTCCACCAAGAAGTGTTCAACGGTTTGGGAGATTATGCTCCCGAAACGAGCACTACTCGTTTAGTTAAGTCCAAATCGTCATCATGTAAAGGGGCGGTCGGGTAGCCTAGTGGTTCAAGCGTTCGCTCGTCACGCCGACGAGACCCGGGTTCGATTCCCGACATGGGTACAATGTGTGAAGCCTGGTGTCCACCGCCGTGATATTGCTGGAATAATGCTAAAAGCGGCGTAAAATCAAACTCGCTCGCTCGCTCATCATGTAAAGCTAAAAAAGCAACAAAAGGAACCAGTTTATCTGTGAAGAAAGTGTCCAAAAGATTTGCAGTTGCAGTTGCTGTCTGACAGGCAAAGAATCGATTCAGGATGTATCTGCTAGGGGCACTCTGATGGCACACAAAGCATTGTTTTCAATGTTCAAGAAAGCATCATCGAAACCTCTGGACAGAAGAGAGAATATGCAAGACGTCGATTAGAGCTATTATATTAACCAGGTTGTGACTTACTGTCGAGACACCCATTCCCCATCAGGATGACAGCTCTGAAAAGGCGTTGTGAGAGCATTGTGCAGACTGAACACGCCGTCATATTGGAACGCATCGTGAGAGAAACAACTAGAGATGAACAGCTGAAGAAAATCAAACTCAGAATTCTCAAAGAAAATTGGGATATTCAGATGTCACAGCAATACTTTGTCTCACGGAAGGCATGATCTTCTGTTTGCACAGAATCGTGAACACAGAATCACTGCAGAGAACAGTTATCAAAGCAGGCCTCAACTTACGACATCTGGGAATAACGAAAGCCATAAAGATGTTGAGAGAAAAACGTATTGGCTTCCGTACATAGGCCTTATGATACAAATGGTCCTGAACCAGTGCTACCATCGCAAGGGGACCACTAAAGACCATCGCCATGAACCGGCAAAATCAACTCACTGAGATCCCTGAGAAATCCTTGGAAACAAGTAACCATGGTGGACCGTTTCCAGACAGAACAGCCGAAAGATTAAATGATGGCTTAAAACTCGACCGTGAATCCTGTCAGTTTAATTTCGTAAATGCAGTCGTGGTTTAAAAAACACACTGATACTCAAACACAAGAAGAATTAATCAATGAACAGGATAAATGGAGAGAAGAATCGTTGTGAAATACGAAACCGTGTGGACTTATGTGACCGTCAAGATATTCCTACAACGGTATAGGGGTATTCCAGTCCCATTTGCAAGAACTGAACAGAGCCAACCAAAACTTTCATCGAGGCCACAGACGAAGCCTAAAATACCTTCCTGTTTATGTGACTTTAACAGTCATGAGAAATGACACATTTTAAGTTTTAATTATCTAAGAAAGGTTGCGGTGAGAGAATTTGTAAGTGGAGAATTCTATATTAAAAATTCTAAAATGAGAATGGATAGGTTACAATATTCCCATCTGCGCCAAGGACAAATTAGTAGAAGAATAGATGCACACCATTATTTTCCACAAACTGGTATTCATGGGGCAGAAGTCCACTAGAATTTCCAATTTGGTAACACACATTTTGCCAGCTATGCAAAGAAGTACATGTATGTTTGACTGTGAGATGCAAATGTATACTAGTATTTCCTTGATTCAACTATTTTGAATTTACAGTCACCATCTCTAAAGGAATGGGAGAAGTGTAGTATTGTGACTTATCCCGCTTATTGTCCGGTTGCGTATTTTACAATGTAAGGGAGACAACTCATTTGTCGGAATACACTGTGTGTTTTTAAGAAGCGTGTTGTGGCGTTTCTACCCAAGAAACTACCGACCAAAAACATCCAACTTAATACTGTTCAAAGCACTACTACACTGACACAGCAATATAGACTGAATCATGATATAAAAGTACCTTTATTGCTTATGGTGAACTCAAAACGAGGATTATGTAGTCTCTCTTGGACATTTTTCCCTCGTCCAGCCGCAGAGTGTCCTTTCCATTCCCCATAGATATGTAGAGCATATTCTGAATGAAATTCAAATTTAGCGTTAGTACACGTTTAAGTCAAATACTATGTCGCCAGGGAGGATACAGCAATATCGAACCTGTGATCGTCGATGGAGTGTCTCCATTGTTTATGAGACTTCGTTTATAACAGCACCATGATTATGAATAGGGGAATGTGTTATGGAAGTTATTTGCCATGATTTATAATGGTCACTTTATATACCTAGTATTAGTCTAGTGATTGGAGGTGCCAACAACATAGTATCCTGGTATGACATGGATATAATTTGATATCTTACAAGCTCGGGTTTAATATGGTGTGCAAGAATTGATTTTAAATATTACTTTGCTTAAATGACTTAACTGTTAACATATTAAACTTGGTCTCGTCGCTATATGGCTGAAATAATGTGGATGCGACGTTAAATTTTAACTCACTCACTCACAAGCTCGTTATAGACATATGGTGTTTCAATTTTGAAAGACCTTCTTCTGGTCTATTGGTAGAGCGGCCGCCCAGAGGGCGGAAGGTTGGGGGTTCGATCCCCGACTGCGCCATACCAAAAGACGTTTAAGGATGGTACTTGTTGTTACCCTCAACTCAATTTTAAACGTAAATTGTAATTGCTTGTTTGACCGACGTCGGGGTACCTTGATACGCCATCAACCAAATAAACGAGGAAGTAATGTCACATTTTTCATTTTCCCTCCGTGGTAACAGTCGTAGAATAACTTCTTTCAGGATACTTACTCATTGGCTGTATGCGCCCATCTACAAGGCCATCTGGTCTGTGGCAACAGATCATGATCTGACAAAACTGTTCCAGGAAATCATCAAAACTCATCCAGAACTCCCCATCATCTCTGTCGTGGCGTATCTTATCACTCTCTGATACAGTCTTCCACTCATAGCTCCTGTAAGAAGTATCGAACAGGCATCACCATTGCTGTCAATGGAGCTTTCTTTACCAGTGCCCATCTCCACATCTACAGATTTACTACTTGCCCTGTGAAACCGACACAGACACTTGTGTTGGTAGGCATGGGGGGCGATTTACTGCTAGCCCTGTGACACTACTATCATATATTTGTAAAGGAAAACCTGGATGACCTTTTTCTTATCTACGTACTTGTATGTGTCTCCTATCAAACACGCCATTATTCCGCTCTCAAAACACCCAGATGTAAACTTGTTGTTAGTTGTTTAACGCCAAACTCAACATACTAGAAATTGCAGCTATGTTATGTCCTTAAATCTGGACCGGACAAACCAGTGATTTACATCATAAGCACCGATCTACGTAACTGGGTTGCAATGACATGCATAAACCAAGACAGCGAACCTGACCACCCGATTCCGTAAGTCACCTTTCACGACAAGCATTGGTTGCGGAAGACCTTTTCTAATCCGATATTTACGTGATTAATTTTATTGTGAGCCACATTCAAGTTATCTGGAGCTTAAAGTTCAATAGATTCGGATAACACTTGGGTTGACATATTTATTGAAATGACGATCATGCTCTTGAAAACCGCCATGTTTCCTTTTCTATCATAACGCTATCCGAACGCTCAGTTGTAGGGTCGAGTGTAGTTGGGGCGTGGCGAACGCGCATGCTGGTACGCAGTAGGGAAAGCGCTGATGAAACCCAGGCTAAATATGATAATATATGTTTTTACTGTAAAGGTAAATGTTTTATTTCAAATACCGGTACATATAGCTTTGGAAAAGTGTGGATTATATGTGAATTATATGTGTCCATAATGCGTGGTATCCTTAATCTCTAAGATCGGGCAGTGCATGGAGGAACACACTAATGAAACTAAACCAATCTTCCAAATGGACTTAACCAAGTCTAGCTACCTGAAGATGTAAGATATGTGGTACATGGATAACTCAGGGACAACGAAGTAAATGCTGGAACAATCCAATCTGACAAAGGTGAACGGGGTCGATGCGCTTCTCACGATTTGATTTTTCTCTTGTGACAAGATTCCATAAACGTTTGCCACAGATAATTCCGATAACAATAACAATGCTTTTTCCGATTTGCAGAACAGATGAGTTTTATGAAAAAGGAATTGAAATACTTACATGTCTCCCCATGTCCCCTTCCACTCAGAAGAACCGTGAGAATTTCGAAGTCTTAAAAGAGGAACTTGCTCTCCATTTCGTCTTATCACCTGAACATATGCATAGCGTCGCCATATGTTAACTTATTCTCAACATAACATTACCCTGTGAGCGCACTCTCAACATAATGTTACCATGGGAACGCATTATCAACATAACATTACCATGTGAACGCATTCGCAACGTAACATTACCCTGTGAGCGCATTCTCAACATAACATTACCATGTAAAGGCATTCTCAACATGTTACCATGTGATTGCATACTCAATATAATGTTACCATGTGAACGTATTCTCAACATAGTGCTTCCATGTGAACGACTTCTCAACATATCATTACATGTGAACGTATTCTCAAAATAATGTTACCATGTAAACGCATTCTCAACATAACATTACCCTGTGAGCGCATTCTCAACATAACATTACATGTGAACGCATTCTCTACATAACATGACCTTTATGAGCGTATTCTCAGCATGACAGCTGTAACAATTCTCAGTATAACATAATCGTTTTGACTTGACTTTGACAGCACCATTTGTAAGCATTCTCAGCATATCATCACCATATTATGAACGCATCTTCAATCAACATTACCATGAGGTCGCAGTTATGAAAGCATCAGGGGTGCATGGAAACTAGATATGTATTGTAAACAGCGAGTGCGCGAAGATTTTGTTTCTGTTTGGTGTGAAACGTAAAGTGGGAATTCCATTTTAAAACGTAGAAGATTTGTGGTTTGGTTAGGTTAGTTGCTTATAGTCTGAGATTGAAGGTTTACATTACTCGATCATGTCTAAAAATCAATAATAACTATAGCAAATATCACAAATGTAAAACAAATACTAACCAGACGTATTCCAGTCAGGGAGTAGGCATGGCCGGCAATAAGTCCCATATTCACGTCATGTGTCTCCTGTTAGAGTGAAAGCATGAGATGGTCTGGGTGCAGAGAGAGATTTGATGCATCTGTATATGCGCTTGAGAATGCATTGTACACACGGGGAAAAGAACACGAGTCTTTTGCCCGAGGAGTCGATGCATTAACCACTAACTTGGCTTTACAACTGGCCCGAATTTACACATAGGTCAACTACTTTTCATAATGACAATTTTTGACTTACTGCAGGTGTGTATCCTTATGTGGCATGTTTCATTTCACCATATTTTGAGACTGCCATGGTTTGATTGACGAGAATCAGGTGAGACATTAGGTGTACTGGGTGCTCTGTATACCCGTATCTCGATACTCACACGAATAGAACAGCTAATGTTGGCGCCCATCTTAAAGACTTGGTTCAGTCTGTCAAACAACTGTTGAGGGTTTGGCTTGTCGTATTGTAGTTCTATTAATTCTGTGACACCTCCTGATAGCATGAGACAGGCATCGCTTGAGTATCCTCCTTCATCGCCCACCTCATTGTACGATCCATAGAGTCTAAACAAATGGTACATTAACTACATGTGCTTGTGAGTGGGCGAGTGTGTTTTACACTACTTTCAACAGTGCGTGTGTTTCAGTTGTGTAAAGGAATATCAGTTTCATGCATGAAGCAGGCTCAAAGCGACGCAGGTCATAGACGTGTACCATTTGTTCTCACGAACCAAGGATAATCATTAGTTTGAATCTACGATTCAAATCCACGATGAGAACCCGACAAGCTTAAGAGACACAAACGACGTGTGTTTGATCATGTTTGTTGTCTGTTGTACATCAGTCATTTGGTTAACTATGTTCGATTGAAAGACACTTAAATACTTGTAAAATGACGGCCAAAAGAAACGTTACCAACGATATTTCTATGATAAAATATGACCAACACAATTTGAAGCAGCAGTAACAATTGTATTGTAGAAATTCATCATTCAGAACAGTAAAATGCGAATTTACTAATTCAACAATAAAATCCTTGACCTGCACCAGGGATATTTCTTGACAAGGGGTCATTCGTCCAGTATTCGATCAACGAGCGGCAATGCATCTTCGATTGCGGCGTCGAACTGAGTAGACAAGCGTCCTCACATCCACTGCAGGTATCCGATTCCATTCCTCAAGGAGGGCAACGACCAACGCTTGTCTCGTGAAGGAAGGATGTTAACGTTTCCGAAGACGACGCCCCAGCTGGTCCCAGAGATATTCTATGGGTGACAGACCTGGTGATCGAGCTGGCCACGGCAGGACAGTCACGTTGTTGGCGTTGAGGAAGTCTTTAGTAATACGGGCTTTATGGGGTGTGGCGTTATCTTGTTGGAACACCGTCCGTTGTTGACGCTGGATGAAAAGAAGAACCACTGGCCGTAAGATATTTTCAATGTAGCGTTGTGCTGTCAGATTGCCTTCGATGACAAGTTCCGTCTTCTCGTCCCCGCAAATGCCGCCCCAGACCATCACACTTCCGCCCCCGTAAGGTTCCACCTCCTGGACACAACAAGGAGCCGTACGTTCACCACGTCGTCGATAAACTCGCGTCCGCCCGTCAGGTTTGAAGAGTTAGAACCTGCTCTCGTCACTAAACAGCACTCGCCGCCATTTCCTTTGTTGCCATCGCTGAGTTTGCCTGCACCACGTCCACCTTGCACGTCGATGTTGACAGGTCAAGGTCATGCCCTTGAAAGGGTGATAAGCCCGGAGACCATAATGTCGTAGTCGTCTGGTCACTGTTTGTCTGCTGACCGGATGTCCTAAGCTGTTGGCAGCTGATGACGTCACAGTTCGAAATCTGTTCCTCAGATGAAGTACCCGTCATCCTGCGGGGTCGTGACCTTTGGTCTGCCACTACGTGGTCTGTCGGCGGTTCTGTCAGTCTGTCGAGACATGCGACCAGTCTGGTAATGGTCATCTTGGAGCAGTTCATGTTAATGGCAACCGCTCTCTGTGTCGCTCCCATCTGCAGCATACCTATGGCTCTCTCCCTCTGGACAGCGGTCAGTCTTGGCATGTTCGTTGGTGTTAATCATCGCAACCAATGATAGGGAACAGATCCGTGAGTAATTTATACCCGGAAATTGCAAGATACTTTGGGAAAGAATGTTTTAAAAAATTGCTGAAAAACACCAATATCTCCTAACATCCGTAAAAAAACGTGCAAAGAACGATAGAGAACATGAAGGCTGTATTCGTGAGATGTGTTCTTTACCGTTTTTGAACAGGTTGGCATCTTTGTTTCAAAGTGGCAAATCAGTTAATTTTGGTAACGTTTCTTTTGGCCGTCAGTTTATACATCTATTTTCACTGACGCAAAAATTGACAACAAGACATATCCAAGATACGAACTCTTTTCATTTAACTTAATCTTGTAGCTAACGCATAAGGATATTGGGAAATATCAGTTAAAGCGAAGTTCGTTGAAACGTCCAGCAGTTAAGTCATTACCCATAGGAAACGCTATATCCTCAGTAACAAATCGTATATGACAACAGGAGTGCGTGAGTGAGTTAGTGAGTGAGTGAGGGATCGAGGGAGGGAGGGAGGTTTAATGCCGCTTTAAGCGGTTTTCAGGTATATCAACGTTTGTTGGTTTATTGTGGGAGGATCTGTATCTGACGTTTACTAATTCTATTAAACCAACGAGCACAGGTAATGTACTGGCAATCCTACAAACATCATCAATGCCGATGAGAACAGAAACGTTAGGAGCTAAATATTTACAATGTATATATAGAGAAGCTTGAGTTTCATACACACTTGGCAAGAGCCTTTTCCATGAACGACACCCACATCTCGTTTTTGTCTGTCCCCGAAGTGGCGCCGTACACTTGGCGATGGCCGTTCGTGTAACGCACGGGAAGAAAGTCATCGGTGTAGACGTCCACCCACTGCCCAAACCTCCACAACCTGCAGTGGAAGACTCCGTCTGTCAGAGGCCTGTAGGAAGCCTTGTTGATAACCTGGATTAAGTATGGCAACTCGCTGGTAAGTATTGTTTTACTGATTTGACCAAATGTCATAATCATAAAATAAAATACACATAGTTTAATTATATTTGTATTTTTCTCACTACTCTGGCTTTGAGGGAATCAGAAAAATAGAAAATAAAAAAAGAACTGTTGAAAAGTTATTGATATAACTTCTCAAACAATATTTTGGGAATCCAACAGTTCATATAACAAACTATGAACTGAAGGAAATCACTTCTGGTGCCTCAGAATAAATATGCAAACCAGTTGTTGACAGCATGAACAATGACCACACCGAATGGTCACCACACGATATCCATGGTATTGCAACAATACTTGGGGATACCAATATCAGTAATGGGAAAGTATCTCAATTGTGGTGATTCCTCCTATCAAATCGGTCATGCTGACACAACATATTGCAACAACGTAGACAACTGTGTCACCAATACCATGGGAACACTCAGCATCAGCAAATAACGTGAAACGTTTGTTGGAAACATATCCGTATTATTAGATAATATATTGTAGTGACTATTCTTTTGCATAACACTTGTCGGAGCTACATGGGTTAATGTCAACACCAAGAGCATATATTGTATGAATATGGAATAGTCAGTCCCAACATTTCATACTTTCATGTATCATTTTAAACTAGTAAATGAAAAAATGTAAAATAAAAAAACAAAAAACTATAGTAACTATAGTACAGTAAACTACGGTTATAACGAACACGCTTATAACGAACTGACGGATATAACGAACTAGTAACTATAGTACAGTAAACTACGGTTATAACGAACACGCTTATAACGAACTGACGGATATAACGAACTGACTTTTTGGTCCCGACTACTTGCTGTAGTCATGCTGTATATGTACTTATAACGAACTACGGTTATAACGAACTAAAACTAGTAGTCCCTTTGAGTTCGTTATAACCGTAGCTTACTGTATATATATAAAAAATAGTCATTATTTTTAAAAATCATGTTTCAAATGAACGTGACAAAGCCCATTTTGTGAAATGCAAATTAAATCCGTGTTTGTTCTAGCAAACGAGATCAGCAGAGTTCGACAACGATGACACACAATCAACCAAGTCATACAGACTGACCTACCGATCCATTTGGACGCCCCTTGTGATAATTATATGTTGTAACCCAGGGTTGTGAAATAATCATCTGTACGTGAGTGTTGATCTACGGGGAAGAAAGCTAAACATGCTCATCACTTCGAGGAAATCCATGAACACGGTACTGTACTGACAAGTCAAATATTTAATTGTTCCGAATCCGTGATTCAAACCTTTGATCAGCGAGTTCTATACGCAACTCTGCACAACAATACAGCACCTCAGACCACTAGCCACCCATGCCCTCGGTTCAAAATGTAAAACATAGCTTACAACGAACGCCATGGTTGTGCTTCCTACCTTTTTACACATGTCCGGTTTCTCTGCAATCACCGCCAGCTTGGCCAAAAACCAGCAGGTGCCAAAATTCTGCTGCTTAACATCAAACCTGCTGGTTCCATCAGAGAAGAGAACTGGCGCTTGGACGATTTCCTTAGGTAGACAAACGTGACATCGATGTCTGAACATGAACTACTGAAATAAGCTCATCATGTTTGTGTGCAAATGACTAAATGGGTGACATCTGTGTGTGTATTGAAAACGTAACACACTGTGCCTTCACATCGCTATACTACTCAGCATTGGATAGGGATTCCATGCTGTAAAGAACGAAGGACAACAGTTTAAGCAATCCGTCACTTAGTCCCCACCTGGATTTTAGAAAATCCTTATCAGAAGTTGAGTATGATATAAATTAATGTATCTGGGTTTTTTTTATTTCGGACGACCATTCTGGACATATATACGGAACATTGCTGCAATATGTCGAAACTACATGGAGTCGTTTTAAATAATAATTGTAAACAGCCGGGCAAAATAAAGTGTACACCAATGTTTAATGGAGGTGAAAAATTAAACAAACACGACATGTCTTTTCGATGGTGATGTAATTGATTTGGGAAGCATAGTTGTGATTTGGACAAGACGTTTGCAGTGTTTGTTTGTTGTTTAACGCTGCATTCAGCAATATTCAACATATATGACGGCGGTGTTACGTATTTCGATAGAATATTTGTTGTTAAAGTAAACGCAGTACCTCTATATTGGGTTCGAGTTTGGGGATTAAATCATTTTTAAACAAATAGAAATATACAGTTATTTGCATGTAAAAAATCCCTTGGCGTTGAAATAAATACACTTATTATCATGACATGTGGTGACTGTGTCAGGTATCCTTTTATTTAAGATATTCAATATCGTCTGAGCTTAATAAATATGCCATTCTATCGGTTACCTTAGAAATGTTTTTATATGGCACACCTTACTTACTTGTGGCCGCTTCCACTGGATTCCTTTGACAGCATATTCCTTTATTGCCACGGGTAGAGTGAAGGTGGTGTCTGTCCATAACTGGCCTTTGGGGACATGTGGACGGCGTTGCCTGCGACCAGCTGAACCTGACGTCCTGAAGTCTACAGTACAGAGTTTAAGACCTGGAAACTCGGGGTCGTCTCGGTAACGTCCTTGGGGAGACGCACTACCGTAGAAGTTGCCATAGCTACAATCACTTGTTGATGAAGAACAGCCCATTGTTCGCACGCGCAGAACCTTATAATTTTGAAATGCATAATGATTTATTTGTTCTCATTTCTCATCGAATTTAGGATCATAGAAGAGGCGTAACTCGTTATCATGAATCGTGAAATTTTCTTCAGAAATCGCCTAGACACATATTTGGCCCATGTCCATACCGACTGTACCCATTATAATTCAAACCATACAAATATGCATACACATTTTCAAATGTATAATGTTACAAATGATATACGTGAACTAACCATAAAGATACTCGTCACCCTAAAATGCGTGATAACACGTCAATCATGTTATCCCAATTCCAGACAGGCCGACTGTTATGTCAAAAAGAACAAGTAACTGGCTGTAAATCTAATTTAGAGATTATCAACAACTGATATCTGTTAATGGGACAGATGTTAAGTTATTTTAATGTAAATGTAAAAGCAAGACCTGTGAAGATCCGGGTTAGAATAGGTCTTCAGCAACCAACGCTTGCCGTAAAGGGACGCAACTGTGCAACAGCGACTTAGACGACTCTGTCAAATCCATTGACACTGGTAATCCTACGTAATTGTTGTTGGAGTAATAATTGTTGTTATTCACAGCAGACTGTTTTGACATACGACTCTACCATGTGTTATTATAAGTTAACAAATATGTTACAATCTAATCCCACTAATTTGTTGTTCAAATTATGTAAGCATTTCGTTATGATCGCATGAATAATTTATTCTCATATTCATCCACTGACTGACATTATAACGCGAAGCATGACTTGGATGATTAAAACAATGTAAAGAGTCAAGTGCATGTTATATTAAACAGCTCCAGTATGTGGTATTTGCTTGTTGTTTAAAGCCGCACTCAGTAATATTCCAACTGTTTGAGGACAGCCTGTAAATAATCGAGTCTGTGCCAGATAATCCAGTGATCGACTTTTTTAGCACGATGGCACCCAATCAACCAGGTCAACGTGCCATTTGACCATCCCTTACGACCGGCAGTGGTTGCTGGGACCCTATGCTAACCCGGAATCCGCTTCGGGTCACTCTGCAATTGATAATGATCTTTGCCATTGAGAATCAAGAAAGTACATTATGACTAAATTATCCTGAAGTGAGTAAAAGAGTTATGTCTGAGTTTGACGTTACTTTCTCTATTTTCCAGCGCCGTTTTAGCTCTACCTTTCATCCAGACGCTGGTTTAAAAACTAAGGAATTAAAAAGGGCAAAGCTATAATATATCAATAAATGAAAGAGTAATGATGTTTTACAATATGGCTGAATATAAGCAACAAAAACATTTCTTTTATCATGACATATGTCTGCTGAGTGCAGAGTTGATTGTATGATCCCACCTATATAAACGTGTGAAACACTATCTAATCGTCTTCGCGAAAAGGCGAGCATAACCTGTCCCAGCGCTGAGAACATAAACATTTATAGGAAATGTCAGTTCCATGGAGGCCATATGTATCATCGGAGGAGAAATAATAAATACAGTGACACAAGAGAAACGGGAGTATGTAAAAGTCCACCTTTTAACATGTTCCAATATAAACATGCAAATCCATACAATTTGGTATTCCGGATATGGAATATTCTAGTACTTGCTGCATACACAATTTCATAATAATACAGGACAAATGATATTCTAACAAGCATGAAATACTCATATCCCCCGCCAATATGACATGTCCGGTTGTGTGCAATGCATGAGCTCCTGTGAACTATGTTCACTGGACCTTCTTTTTAAATGGCCTAATTGCAGCACTAAAAAAAGTTATTACTGGTGTTGTCTCGCCATCTGTAGTATATGATATAATATGTAACTATTTGTAATGAGTAAGGATGAGACAAATGGACGAACAACTTCTTTCTTACAATTAGGAGCGATGGTTTCAGTGTAGGTTCTAACACTGTTATCAAGCAAGTGAAGTAAAGAGTATGTTTGACAAGAATATATACAAGATAGGAGGCAGTGCTGAGTAGGTTTAAGATCAGTTACACTGTTATATTTGTAATGAGTTGTGTTTCTGCATGAAGTTTGTCAGTGAATGCAACAACCGTGTCCATGACACTTTTGGAGGAACATACACACAAGCAATACAGAACTCACCAACAAGAAAAGAAATGTATTCAATACTGCTAGATGATATTATGTGCCACGTTTGGTGAAGAAATATGGTACGGTTTTCAAGATCTGCTCCGGAAACGAGGACTACCGCCATTTTCAGTCTAAGTCTAAGTCAAATTTCGTTGCCATTGAAACTCGACATTTTTTTTTTAAATCCCAAACTATCCAAAGGCACCAGTTCACCACTAGACCTATCTATGTGCCAAGTTTGGTGAAGAAATATGGTACGGTTTCAAGATCTGCCCCGGAAACGAAATGTGACGGACGGCGGAAAGACGGACGGACGGCACCCATTCCTATATCCCCCTTCAACTTCGTGGCGGGGGATATAAAATCGGATCGGATTTCTATGAGAACAACGAGCCACAATAACAGCCTATTTAACTGATGATGGGCTTGCCTCCAAGGGACACTGAAGATGTTTTCTGATATATATAATCTTTGTACTGACGCTGTCATGGGCCCCACATGATGAACAAGTATGCCAAAATATGCATGTACCTCAACTGATGTAACCCTCTCGTCAGCGTGAAGGACAACGCTGAGCAATGTACGCCTCCTCCTGAACGTGAAAGACAACACTAATGAATACACGTCAACACACCTCGTTTTAGAAGAAGCACCTGAAGAACTGCCCTGCTTGACACACACCTCTGCCAACGATAATGACTCCACTGATTGAAGAACGCCTATACAGTCACAGCCCGGGCGCGATAGTCCTACAGTTTGATATGCACCAGCCTGTCTCCTCTTCGTGACGAGAATCCGCAAAACATTCAGGTACACAATAGTTTAAACCATCACATATCTACTTGTCACGTTACTGTTGATCTGGAACTGGATGCATTATCTGTCATTTAACATGTATACCAACCAGTGATGTAAAAGTGACAAACTTTAATCATAAGAAAATCCAAAGTCACGATTGTAGGAAGTTTATGAATCACTGTTATGCTGGTCGCTTAAGATTTAGCCGGCCCTCCGGAGTCACCCGCAACAACCACAGAGGCAGGTCAAGCATTCATCAGAAGAAACACGGCAACATGTGTTGACATATGTCGTCTACCTTAATACTTTTTGAAATTTTTAATACTTTTTGAAATCTTAACTAAGGTCTTGATTGTTGTAACCATGGTCAAACAACGTTTGAGCAAGAGTCGTATAACCATCCTTGACATCTTTGTTGAAAGAACATTCTCAATTGTTCCTGAAAGTCAAATGCTGAAACTGCTGGAATAATTCCACGATATGAAGTGAAGTTTGACCAATGGAAAATGGAAGTCATCCCTCTTGTGAGGTGTGATGAAATGATGTTTAACGTCGCGTCCAAGATTGCACTTATATAGCGACGTGCATGTACGTGTGTGTGTGTCTGCACTGATGCCGATGTTTAATGCTCGCCCAATGTGATACCATGCAACAGTTCAACATGAATACTCGAACACACTATATACTGACACCTAGCCGACCAGTCCTTTTTTAGACCCTTAATGCCCAGAGCGAGACAGGGTAACAACAAGTACCATCGTTTAACGTCTTTTGGTATGACGCAACCGGGGATCGAAACCCTGACCTTTCGCTCCCCTGGTGGACACTCTACCACTAGACCACATGCGGTCTCATCCTTTTTTCATTCAGTCTCGTCATCAGCTTTTTGTAGCATATCGGTCACCATATTGTGTATGTATCGCTTTATCATGTACATGGGATATGATAACTTATCATACATCGCACGTTCGGACCTACGTCACGAGGGCGACTGATCCTGACAAATAATACCGATGAGCAACTTAAATTGTTCAATATTTCCACACCACAAAGGGCATGCTCACAGGCCAGAACTAAATGTTGACAGAACTACAGCTATTCGTGGTAATGTTTCAATGAATTTCCGTTTACTTTCGACCATTTCTCTTCAGGGGCAAGAAGAAACATCATTTGAACTGTTAAATGCTGACAAAGGCAGAACAACCGTCAACTCAGTCATGAATATTCTGTATTCACTGAGACTGGTCTTCTGTTTTCACTACCGAATTCACAAAAATCACTGAGATAACCATTTCTACGAGCATACAGTCATGTCCACGTTGGTTTTGGTAAGGTTTTAATTATTCTTTCAAGGCTCACACGTGTCACAAACTGCTCCTTTTTATGAGTTCACGTAATCAGGACAATCAGTTGGTCAGATCAAAGGGGAATTCAGTTTTGACAAAACCCGTGAAGATCCGGGGTAGATAAGGTCTTCAGCAACCCATGCTTGCCGTAAAAGGCGACTATGCTTGTCGTAAAAGGCGACTAACGGGATCGCGTGGTCACTGACAGGCTCCCTGACGTGGTTGAAGCATGTCATCGATCCCAATCGATGCATATAATATCAATCAATGGATTGTCTGATCCAGACTCGATTATCTACAGACCGCCGTCATATACCTGGAATATTGCTGAATGCGGCGTAAAACAACAAACCAACCTTCCAACCAGTTTTGACAACATGCAATGAACAGTATAATGTTTCTGGTGATTCTTGTTTGGAGTTCATACTGTATGATTGCGAGTGTGGAAGCTGTAACGAAAAAAAGTATGAAAGTCGTATGAAAGTCGGAATTGTTCGCATGCGAATGTGAAAAAAATAGAAAGTGTGGAAAGCGATGGTGAAGGTGTCGAATGGGAGAGTAAACTACGTGTCGAAAGTACAAACTATGTTAGTATTTTATTATCCAGAATAATAATAATATCGCTTGAATCTTAAATGTATATAAGCTTCTCGCAGACTTGCACTCATCCCACGTCACGAGAAACAAGATATTTCACACATTGAATACCCTAATTGTTAAACATTTTTGTGAAGTTGTCGACCGCGAAATTTAATTATGTCATTACAAATGTAAAGCCTTGAAACATAAATTCGTACTCATGGGCAAGTAACAAAAGTATTTAATGTCAATAAAATGCTTTATCATACATTTGAATATGATTATATGCAAAATCAAAATCAAGTATTCTTGAGCTCTACGTGACCGTTGTAGGAAGCATAAACGCTGGTCATGTGACAGAGATGGCGCTCTGCGAAAGAACAGTCTCGGCTTGCGAGTTACATGATAAATTAACAGTTCATTACGAAATATTTTCAAGAGAATAACAAACGACAAAAAGCGATATTAACTCTATAGTTGACCATCTGTCTACCCGTTAAAATCCGGGGTGGAATAAGTCTTCAGCTACCTATGCTTGCCGTAAAATGCGATTATGCTTGTCGTAAAAGGCGACTAACGGGATCGGGTGGTCAGACTCGCTGACGTGGATGAAGCATGTCATCGGTCCCTATTTCGTGGATCGATGCTCATGATATCAATCACTGGATTGTCTGGTCCATACTCGATTATTTAAAGACCGCCGTCATATAGCTGGAATATTGCTGAGTGCGGCGTTTAACAAAAAGCCAATCAACCAGCCAACGACCATCGGTCATAATGTGTGGAACTAAGTTAAATGGGAAGTCAACAGTTTGTGTACGGGCCGGACACTACCGATAAAGGGGAGATAATTTGTTGGAGGTAACTCATGTAAGACATGTAAGTTCCGTCAAAAAGTTATATTCACTACAGTGAAATACATATCAAGTGTTATTTTCACTGCAATGCAAATATCACTGTATTCAATTTCAGAAAACGTTCACTCTGAAATATATTATACGTTGTTTGGATACAATCAACTCGTACAAGACACAGGCATGCCCGCAGGGACAAAGTGACTGAAGTGTCTTTATCCTGTTTGTTCTGTGCTGTAACTTGGGTTGCATTGGGCTTCATTCTGGCAATGTGTGCAGGTGTAGCTACGGGTTTCGTACCTTCTAAAAACGTAGTGTAAAACATTCAAGGCAACATATGCAGGTTGGGCTTTTTTGCGTCGGTGATGAAATTGACGGTTTATATTAAATACAGTTTCCATTGCCGTTCTGCTGGTGATGTGGCCGATGTCGCTGATGAATCTCATATATGTGACTGATGATGTCTCTGGTAACGCAGCGGAGAACTCACCGATGATGTTGATTAGATGCAGCTGATGATGTGGCAGTGATGTTACTGATGTTGATGATGTGGCAGTTGCATTCACAGAGATGTCGCTGATGATGTCTCAAATATGTGACTGATGATCTCGCTGATGGCAATGCACAGATGTCGCTGGTAATGCAGTGGAAATGTCACAAATGCTGCTGAACAGATGTCACTGACAATGTGGTGGAGATGTCATTGACGTTGTCGAATATGTGCATCTAATGATGTGGAAGAAGACGAAGGCCATGCCGCTGATATTGCAGCGGAGGTATCGATATCGTTGATGTAGCTGATGATACCATAGCGATGTTGTGGATGTTGTGCCTAATAATAACACCGCATCATCGTCTGTGATAGGGTAAAATCAGTTTATCTCTTGGTATGCTCCTGTTTTAAAAGAAAAGGAATAACACGTAAATGCACTTCCTGTTGGATATTATAGCTAAAATGGATATAATTATCATCAAACCGCCCGCATGGTAAAATGAGCGGGTCACTGTAACTTGATAATGCACTCATATTGCTTGTCGACGGGCCATTATCACGCCAGTTGTTAGGTGACGTCATAGGATAGGGATAGGTGACGTCACTTTCAATAGTGACGTTCTGGTTTGTTCTATGACGTTTCCATCAGTGACATTGGTGTCGATCGCAGTAAATGTTTCAAAACATTGTTGTTGTTTCTTTTTTTTTTATAACAAATTCCATCCAGTTTAGCAATAATAACGGTAACGCTATTTTTCAGGGCATTGTCATTTTCAGAAGCCCTCGGTCTTTTCATTTTAATGGAAGACCTCCGGCTTCTGCAGATGATAATGCCCTGAAAAATAGCGTTACCCTTATAGTACAGATGGCCAAATGATCCATAATCGGGGAGATTTACTTCACTTTACCCTCATTGGTATGATTTAGGGAGGTACCCCCGAGACCCCAAAGCAATAAGGATAATAGTAACATTCCGAACATAGAACGGCAGGGGTCAAGAGGAACAGCATTTAGACATTCATAATGCACCTGTAGAAAATCAAACGCTGTATCTCCTAGGCTGCCTCACGGCCCCCAGTACGACTTGAAGCATACTACGTCAGCTGAAGCTGTAAATTATCTGCAACGTTCACATCAAAAGAATAACCACAAGACGAATTCTTACCTGCAGTCATACAACGGACACGGAGAGAAGACTCGCAAAAGAAACTCCTCGCTTGTAGCAGATTGAGATGTGGACGGGACCACAAAATAATTCCCTGGCCTCAACCGGTAGCGGAAGGTACACTGTCGCCACCGGAAGTAGTGTTCCTTCGCTTCCATGTCTTGCACCTTGGTAACGGCTACGCTTCTGTCATCGTCACTCATCACCTAAAATAATTATAAATCTTAACGCTTCAGATCGACATTGGGTGATTTTTGTAAATCGTTTTATATTCAATGGTGTACATGTAGGTGAAACATCCCGGGGAAGAAAAGGTTCATCTTGTAAACGGATATTACGAGTGAAAAAGACCTTGATGCGTACTAGTATAAATATGGGATGCAAATGTTGCTTTTGTTCGCCATATCCATTGAAATAGTAATATTGAACATTTATTCAGTTGAATAGCAAAATGAAACAGAAATATTAATGATTGAATTTTCATTACCAATTGTATCAAATGAATTTGTCGACTGCATTAGCAATTACTACTTAAATCGAATATGACTCTTTTGCCAATTAGATACTGGTTGCAGTAATAAAATGTGCGGTACTGGGTCAGTATGCATATACATGTTAATTATTTACGAGTATATATTAAAAAAACAAATTGCAAATCTGAAATCGGCTTTATGTCATGTAATGTTTTATTTGGTTACATTAAGTTGCATAAGCTTGACTGATAATTCACCACACAAGAAGTACTGAAGTGCAGTGAAAAACACTGAAAGAACAAGGAGTATCTAGGGCTCAGTTAAGACAACATTTAATCAAACAGCTTTAATTAAACTGTCAAGACTGAGGTAATTGCTGCAGTGGTGAAGTCAAGCTTGGATGTTGAGTTAGTTCCCATGGCCACTGGTGTGGGGGCCTAACTTTCGTTGCTGGCGATCTTTTGCCGTATTGTTATTTTGTATCTTTGTCTTATAGTCTGTTTTAATGTTCCAGAACTAGTTTTAAGAAAAACTGTAATATGATACTGTATACCTCCCAGGGAGCTGAGAATGACAAATAAACACATGTGCACACTGATCCATTGACCGGGGTAATAATGATAGCGCTTTCCGCATACACCTCGTGTAAGGAGTTGAGCGCAAGTACACACATTATTATTACTAACTACAGATTAAAATAACAAATGCGGTAAAGAGGGTTTGTGTGATACTGGCGCAGTCAGGCTTGTTAGGCTCAGGGCCCTTGTCCCCTCTACACGCAGCCCAGACAGCGAATGGGTCGTACCCACTGAGAACTTTTCGGAGAATGTGAAGACCCCCCAACACTGCAGCCTTCTGCATTACTCAAATTGTCAGAAGGGCTGTATTCCTGGTAGCAAACCCGGGTACTCTCCCAATGTCAGTCAACAGATTAGAAGGTGCCAAACCTAAGGCACTGAGAACAATAGGGATTCGGACAAGTTGGTACTTGGGATGCAAGCGTGACATATCGAGGTCCGCATATTTGCCATGTTATTGCTCAATCATGTCAGTCACATTAGTGTCAAAAGGGACAGAAAATTCAATAGACCCCCAAAGACAGGTATACAGGAGCTGTAATTATATGATACGAATTTTGAAGAATATATTTATGTTCTAAAGTAATAAATGGAGGATACCATGGAATGTGGAGCTACGAACAAAGGATCACATTTGGTATCCAAACCAACGACATGGCGCGCATTGGTGATGACGCTCTCCTCGTAGAATAAAGGCGTGGGAGGCTACTGGGCCATCATCGACCCTGACACTGCGTCTCTGCTTAACCCCTACATACACTGATTGTGTTGTCCACCAACGTCTTTCAATAATGTGTGGTCAGAAGGTGAAGCTGGTTTGTAGGCTACTCTTCGTGTGTGCGACCCAGTATCACAATGTATGATACAGGATGTATGTGATACGAATTTAGATTTTGCCAGAAGTATAATATGTGAATTAAATGGTCTTATCACGGATGTGTAGATATGAAAACACACCTTGAATAAATCACAGCGTATGTCATAGTAAGCTTCATGTTGACCTGCTCCCTGTATGAGGTGCACCACAACCGGCACCTCCTCTCCTGGAAAACAAAATCAGTATAGGCCATACATAGAGTGAGTGAGTGAGTTGGGTTTAACGCCGCTTTTAACATTATTCCAGTTATATCGCGGCGTGTCAGCTTAATGTGGAAGGAAAGCCCGAAGTGATGCAGGTCTCAGACGTTTACCACTTCGGTGAAACCCACGAGCACGGGTATGGTGCTGACAAACCTAGAAACATAATCGGGGCGAACCGGGATTCGAACCCACAATCATAGGTTTCTGGCATGTTCAAATGACGCAACTCTGCACAGCGAATCGCGGCGCCTTAGACGACTTGGCCACCCGTGCCCCCCCCAAACATAGAATACAAAGAATACATAAAACTACAGTGAACCTCTTTAGCCCGAGTTTCTTGAATCCATATATCGAAGTCGATGTATCTGTTTTGTCCTTTAAGAAAATGGTCTAAAGTCGATGTCAGGATTGTATAAAATTCCAGATAACACGAATTGTGTTAGTGACCCCAAAACGTCGAGTTATTGTGTATCCACTTCATGAAATAATGACATTCAAAATCATATTCTGTCTGTGGCTGCAAAATAACATATATTTCAAATCTCTGGCGATGCATTGATTCAGTACAACATCGAAAATTCGCTACCTCCACTAACTCAGTATTTACCGATATTCTCGAAGCAAATGGGTAACTGGTATAGTGGATAGAGCGTCTGCTCAGGGAGCGGAAGGTCGAGGTTAAAAGATTGTAGTTGTTGTTCTGCCTGGCGTGATGCATTAAGGGGCTCACACAATGTCTGCTCGGCTCGGAGTCAGAATACTGTCTGAGTGAACGTAACGTTAAACCCCCTTTTCAACTCACCTCACCTAATGGTCACAATAGTCATGTATCTGTCGGAATTCCATGACGTGAGTCTACCACCGGCTCCGTGGTCATACCAAAATACGTTAAAAGATGGTACTTGTTGTTACCCTGTCTGGCGCTCGGCATTTAGGGGCTAAAACAAGGACTGCTCGGCTCGGAGTCAGAATACTGTCTGAGTGAACGTAACGTTAACCCCCCTTTTCAACTCACCTCACCTAATGGTCACAATGGTCTTGTATCTGTCGGAACTCCATGACGAGAGTCTACCACCGGCTCCGTGGTCATACCAAAATACGTTAAAAGATGGTACTTGTTGTTACCCTGTCTGGCGCTTGTCATTTAGGGGCTAAAACAAGGACTGCTCGGCTCGGAGTCAGAATACTGTGTCTAGGTGGGGTATTCATGTTAAAGTGCGGCATGGAATCTCATGGACTATAAATCGGCATCAGTCTAATCTAAGTTGCAAGGCCGTCATTACAGCAGGCAAGCGCACACACATATACACACATTTTTGTGTTTCAGTGGAAAGATTTTAAACGCGCCGTTAGAACCAATTAAACCTCAACTCAACCAATGGTCAGCACGCGCAGTAATCCAACGTATTGCTTCAACTGATCAATCAGCACTGAGAATCACGATACACACATATCGCATGTTTTGTTATTTCAACACATTTGATCACACATCACTTCAAACCTGTATTCCGAGTACATCGTCCACATGACGTCACGATCACATAATAAAAAATAAACATAAGCTTTTCTTATTCTAGATATAAACGTTTACTATATATGTGATGGATTAAATGTAAGATACACCAATGTCTTTTCTCCAAAGAGCGACATTAGTTGCAATACAATCCAACACAAAATACGGCGGTGAATCCCAAACGCACCCTGTGGAAGCACACTTATAAGCTGGACCAGGTGTCCAACATCTCAATATGTGAAAGCACATTTCTTGAAGAAATGTTGATCGTAATACACACAGGATAAACTTGAGGAAGAATAATATGCAGTCATGAAGTATTTGCTTGTTGTTTAACGTCACAATCAACGATATTTCAGCTATACGACGGCGGCTTGTAACAAATCGTGTCTAATCCAGTGATTGACATCATGAGTATTTAAGATACACATGTACATGTCCTAGCGTGACTCCCTGTAAAACGCCTCTTTCGACCATAAAGGGTTACTTAGGACCAAAGGTATGTGTGACTTAGTTGGATATAGTTTCTTATCTACCAGTACCTACCTTCTTTGGGGATGGCAAACGAAAACCTGGGGTTTCTCAACCTGTCCTTTAGTGTTCGTCCTTGTCCTGTCGATGTATCTGCTCTCCACTCTCCAAATATCCGCAACACGTAGTCTGTCAAGTGTTGGTAAATTGGAAAACTTAATGTTTAAGATAAACAGACAGACTGAAGTTCGTCACTTTGCATGCTCGTCACTTTGCATGTGGTTTTATAAATTAAAATTCAACAGATATACAATGTTGGTTTGGTGCTTCAGGTCAAAGTCATGAATCGGAAAGCAGTATGTACTGGTACATATAAACATATTATTTTCGGTAGTATTGTGACTTTTACTCCCAATGGGATCTGTGAATAGAGACTGGTAATTCTCAACTATTATACCAGCATCAAATACAAAACCACCGAATAATTTCTTGTTTGTTTCATTTTTAGCCACCATCAAACGTGGGTGTTTACGTTCTATTGCCCAGCTGTTCATGCTGTAGTCACCTTATCGATATGTCTGAAATACTGCCGATGTGACTATAGATTGTAAACTCACGCACTCACTATAACAGTTCGAGACGTGGTAATTATACATCACGCTATGAGTTACATATGCCGCGAGACCGCCTCCATTGTATAGTGTCCAGAGCGTCTTGCCGGAGAGCGGAAGGTCGTGGGTTTGATCCCCGGCCGCGTCATACCAATAATACGTTAAACAATATACTTGTTGCTATCCTGCCTTGCCCTGGGCGTTAAGGGGTTAAAATGGACTGGTCGGCTCGGAGTCAGTATACTTTGTCTAAGTGGGATATTCATGTTAACCTACGGCATGGTATCTCAGTGAGCTTACAATATAAAATAGGCATTTGTCCACACACACACACACACACGCACGCACGCACGCACGCACGCACGCACGCATGCACACACACACATGTACACGCACACACACACACACACACACACACACGTGCGTGCGTGCACGTCGCTGTATGAATGCAACAATCTTGAACGCGATGTTAAACCCCATTTTACCTCATACCGTTGGACGAGAACCTCAAACTGTTGTACACGTGGAGACACATGTAGGATGTCACTTACTGAGATGATCCGATCTCCCATCAATGTCGAAGTCCGGAGTGAGAGAGCAGATTGTAATCTGTTGGAAATACTTTGTGAAATCTGCTAGGCTCATCCAGAATTCTCCGTCATTTTTTCTTTGCAGGAGATCTCTGCCTTCCCGCACGCCCCTCCACTCGCCACTCCTGTAGAATTGTGACATTCATGTCCAGATATATGTACCGACAACACAAGATTAATGTGAATCCTGAAGTAAAACATATTGTTAATGATATCCACGACACAGTGATAAGCCCCAAGGATATGGTTCATCAGGTGAATATATAAACCTCCAGTCATCCTATTATTCTCCAGAAGTGTTAAATCTCATAAACAAAGACGTTAATTAATATTCTGTTTTTTTATTTATTCAACTTCCCTTTAGTTTGTAACATATCACCCTCAACTGTCAATCCATAATATGTCGCTTCATCGGCCCACACTCACCTGTCACTCCAGCATCTGTCACTGCAGCATCTGTCACTCCGTCGGCCAACCCTCACCCGTTACTCCGTCGGCCCACTCTCACCTGTCACTCCAGCTTCTGTCACTGCAGCATCTGTCACTCCGTCGGCCCACCCTCACCCGTCACTCCGTCGGCCCACTCTCACCCGTCACTCCGTCGGCCCACACTTACCTGTCACTCCGTCGGCCCACCGTCACATGTCACTCTGCCGGCCCACTCTCACCCGTCACTCCGTCGGCCCACACTTACCTGTCACTCCGTCGGCCCACCGTCACATGTCACTCTGTCGGCCCACTCTCACCCGTCACTCCGTCGGCCCACACTTACCTGTCACTCCGTCGGCCCACCGTCACATGTCACTCTGTCGGCCCACTCTCACCCGTCACTCCGTCGGCCCACACTTACCTGTCACTCCGTCGGCCCACCGTCACATGTCACTCTGTCGGATCACCCTCATTTGTCACTCCGTCGGCCCACCCCCACATGTCACTCTGTCGGCCCACTCTCACCCGTCACTCTGTCGGCCCACACTTACCTGTCACTCCGCCGGCCCACCCTCACCTGTCACTCCGTCGGCCCACTCTCACCTGTCACTCCGTCGGCCCACACAGACCTGTCACTCCGTCGAACCACCCTCACCTGTCAATCTGTCGGCCAACCCTCACCTGTCACTCTGTTGGCCCACACTTACCTGTCACTCCGCCGGCCCATCCTCACATGTCACTCTGTCGGCCCACCCTTACCTGTCACTCCGTCGGACCACCCTCACCTATCACTCTGTCGGCCCACCCTCACCTGTCACTCCGTCGGACCATCCTCACCTGTCACTCTGTCGACCACCCTCACCTGTCGGCCCATTCCAGCATCTGTCGCCCATTCGACCCGTTCACTCATCTGTCACTAAAACAGTATCCCTACTCACGTGTCACTCCATCGTCCCGTCCACTCGTTTTGACCATGTGGATTTCGTAATCGCAGCAGAGGAACTCTTGCATTGTCAAATGTCGTCACCTGCAATTCGTTGTACCGAACTGGTTGAGTTCACATAGCCATACCCATTGCACTCATCCTTTCATTGTGTGCGCTTTTATTTTTGTTTACGATAATATTCTCAACGTTTAACAGGAATCATATGGGACAAATATTAACTAGAAAGCATGCTCTTTAAATTTTCCTGTACCAGTTTCTATCATAAAGCAATGAGGTCAGGACCAGACAATCCAGTGATTGAAGTTATGAGCATCGATCCACGCAATTGGGATGCGATGACATGGATCAGCCAAGTCAGCGAGCCTGACCACCCGACCCAACAAGCATAGTCGCCTCTTACGACATGTTTCGCTGAAGACCTCATTATTTGAATAAAATATGCTTTGACTGTACCACATCAGCTCCGTTCAGCGAGTAGGCGTGCTGCCCGACCAAACCCTTGGGGGCAACTTTGTTCTGAAAAAAGTCGATAAAACGTCAGAGACACACGCGTAATTAAACAATATTGCTTCATTAATACCACTATAAATGCGGTGCATAGTTTTTCCGTTCACGAGTGCCAGAATCATACATCGTGTGTTCACATAACTGAATGACCCTTCTTATAATTATTGGTATGAAAGCACCAACCCATCTTCATGGGTTTAACCAAAGTGGCACATGTCTAAAACCTGCATCATGTTAAGATGACACGCTGTGATACAACTGATATGCTCGTATTCAAGGGGTCGTTAAAACACCTCACTCACTCGGCTTATAGTGTTTCCACAAAAGTGCATATGACAGGGGGAATATTTGCAAATATTTGATAGTAGTAAAAATATGTACTTTATCAAAAGAAACATGCAAGACATGCATGGGCAAGTCATAAGAATGCTCTGGATTGACATGCACGAGACAAATACGTTAAGCACCATCTCAAACCTGCTGCAGCGTGAAGGAAGACAGGGCGGACATGAGATTAAAGGCATCATAAACGGCATCTGGAAACTGTTCTCCTTCACAATCAATTATTAAAGGCATATTTCTATCGGTCTAACCTTATAAATAAACAGTTTACAAAAGAATCACTGGACACCAATACATCGAAACCTCATTGTCTCTTCCTGGGGTTGATGTCCACAGAAACAAAAGAAAGATACAATACTTATAAAGTTGTGAAAATGATGTGAAATAAACATGTATTTACCGAATCATCAAAACGTCAAGCATAAACCACACTCTCCGAACGAGTGAGTGAGTTTATACCAGCAATATCACGGCGGGGGACACCAGAAATGGGCTTCACACATTGTACCCATGTCAGGAATCGAACCCGGGTCTTAGGCGTGACGAGCGAAAACTTTTACCACTAGGCTACCCGACGGCTCCCTCTCCGAACGAGCAAACAAATCTCGAGTTGGTTACAGATGCACCAGTGTCCTTAGTAACATGTGCCGCTCTCTTTGCCTTCACAAACGTACACACTCTGCGATGCATTGAGCCCGTTAATTGCCTCATGACAGTCACCATCACCGACCGGCTAAACTTCCTTCACGTCCATAGACACGTCTCCTCTCTCCAATCGCAGTCGGCAATGTCAAAGTCAGTCTCTATTATACCTTGTAACATGGATTCCAAGACTCGCAATCTCCTGGACACTGTTTGTCAACTCTAGAAGCTAAGGTATGGAAGTTGTGGCGTCCCACTTAGGAACTGATTCTGAAGAAGAAGTGTTCCAAGATGCCTTTTATCATGTCTTTACTATCGTGTCTTTACTATCATGTCTATCTGCTGACTATTACGCTGCATCGGATTTGAAATGGTGCTGTCACATGGCCTGTCATACCCTAGTCTGGAGTCCTATGGCTCGCCCATGCAGCTCTGATGGAAATCATAGGATGTTTCTGTTGAGTTTATATACATGATTGCTCTGCTTTCTTATTATTTATATATATAAACCAATCACGTAGTATGTTTACTTCTCTTTATTGTCTAAATTCCATTTTCACCGTGGTATACTTTCCCTGAGAAAGTGTTGGGTAGCTTCTTTTGCCTACCATTTCACAATTTAGAATATTTCTATTTCTTGAATTTCCATTTTCGCAATGTGATAGCGCTTTTGGGCGGCAATACCTGCCACGGATGACAAGAATTCTGCTGCGCTATAAAAATTAATTTGGGGCCACATATCGAATAGAAGGATTCAAGTAAATGAGGTCGAAGTGTAGTATACATAGCGAATACTTACAAATATAGCGCATGTCACAAGGGCTCCCGTATCCACGGCCGTTCGGACTCTACGGTAAAGTAGCTCAGGGTTATACGAAGTGTTCCCGAGTCGGATGGTCTCGGGCACACCCCCAGTCAGCGCCAGATAAGCGTCACTCGGCCACCCCCCTTCAAGCACACTGTAGGACCCGTGGAATCTGGTCGTAAGTAAGTATATTTGGATTATTTTTTCACACAATATTCCCACAGATACAATACATCGGCGATGGGGTAGCCTCATCACGCCGAAGACACCGAGATCGATTCCTCACATGGATACAATGTCTGAATGCCATTTCATGTTTTACGTCTTACAAAAGATCCATCTGTCTGGCAAGTTTAGAACTCATATTCCTGCAAAATTTAAATATATTCTCTGACTGTCTCTAATAACGAGGATACTTTGAATAGATGGTGTGGGTAAATAATGTTTGATGTCAATGAATTATTAATGTGCATAGTTATATAAAACATAAACTGTCCTTAATGTGAATCGAGTAAGCATAATTAAGAATAATGATACCTTTTATTCGGTTTACTGCATTTATTTTTAAGAGGATTGGGTTTTACAAGTCTAAAGAGAACCTAGACATGTGACTTCGGGCATGAAAGCATACATATCTATACTCCGTTTAGTTGTTCCCCTATTTTTGCACATGAAATATAGGATCTGAGTCCGTATATACATTCTCGATCATTCCTAACGGATTTATCCATGTTTTGTTATCCATTTGAATAACTTACTTGGCTAGCGCCTTCTCCATCAGTGAGACCCACATCTCACTGTTGCCGGAACCAGAGCCAGCACTCATCAGGAACCTGGAACCGTCATGGACTGGCAGGAAGTCGTCGATGTAGACGTCCTCCCATATCCCCAGTCTCCACAGCCGACAGTGGAAGATACCATCAGTCATAGGAGTGTAGGACCTCTCGCTGATCACCTAGTCAACAACCTGGCACTAATCAGGTTGGAAAGCAACTGTTCTGAACAAGGCTTGAGGGAGTTTGTGTGTGCGCTTTGGCAATTCATGAATATTTCATCAATCGAAAAGTGTTTACTCTTTATGATAAATGCAGAACTTACGAGCGACGTCTTTGACGGATACCGATGCTGGAATTGGATAGTGACAGTGTTGATAGCGATGACAGCATTTCAAAATGATTATGAAATTCAATGTTTCCTGTTGATAGTGTATTTCGCTCATGCCCATAGGGGACAGTGTGGGCTATTATGCTCGAGGTCATTCCATGTTTTTTGAATGACTGTATGAGGACTTCTCAGCGTGATCTACTATGCTCGAGGTCATTCCGTGAATGTGTGGGGAATGACTGCGTGGGGACGTGTCAGTGTGAGCTACTATGCTCGAGGTCCTTCCATGTTTTTTGGAATGACTGTATGGGACTTGTCAGTGTGGGCTACTATGATCGAGGTCATTCCGTGTTTTTTGGAATGGCTGTATGGGACTTGTCAGCGTGAGCTATTATGCCCGATGTCGTTCCCTGAATTTGTGAGGAATGATTGTGTGGGGACGTGTCAGCGTGAGCTAGTATGCTCGAGGATATTCCATGTTTTTTTTCTGGAATGACTGTATGGGGACTTGCCAGTGTGGGCTACTATGCTCGAGGTCTTACCATGTTTGTCAGGAATGACTGTGTGGGGACTTGTCAGTGTGGGCTACTATGCTCGAGGTCTTACCATGTTTGTCAGGAATGACTGTGTGGGGACTTGTCAGTGTGGGCTACTATGCTCGAGGCCATTCTATGTTTGTGGGGAATGACTGTTTCCGGGACGTGAGCTGCATTTGGCCACAACACAATAAAAATTATTTCACAGTAGCGAGAAGTTCAACATCATTTAAGCAAAGCAGATACGGATAGGACAGAACGACGATACTTTATCCAGGGAAGGATAAACCTGTTCTGCACCATTGTACTTTTTCATAATTAGAAATCAGCATGCAGGTAGCATAGAAAGGTCAAAACACTCCAATGACAGTCAAAAAACATACATGAGCGCAAATATATACTCAAGTTTGACCATATGAGAGCCTCAAAAGTAATTTCAGAGAGTATATCTAACAAACATGATGTTAAATCAGGGAATATGTACAATACCTGACAAGAAATAGGGATTATGTTTATTCCCTGAGTGAATCAGACATTAAATATATTCCCTGAAAATTTCAGGGAATACACATATTCCTTGATTATACACATTTCCTGTAACCTGTTGACAAAGGTAAAGGTAACTGATTATTTTATTCTATTTTCCGTCTGATTTATGGTGTACTGGTGTATACAGGACTCAAAATGCAACCCTTTTAGGCCTTCTGAGACCTTATTTAAACTAATTCAAACTTCCATATTCAGGGAAGACATTCATTACACGTTTAGTGAAATGTCTGGTTAAATGTGTGTGTGCGTGTGTGTGTGTGTGTGTGTGTGTGTGTGTGTGTGTGTGTGTGTGTGTGTGTGTGTGTGTGTGTGTGTGTGTGTGTGTGTGTGTGTGTGTTGCTTCATGACTAATATTTGTTTATCCATACTCTGGAGTGTCTTATGCATTTGAGTAATATGAAGGGCTAGAACCACATAGCAGCATGATTGTTTGCTTGTGCATTCGTGCTATTGAACACATGTACATACCTTCTTAAGAAGATCTCTATCTTCTGCAATATTCGACAGCATGGACAAGAACCAGCATGTTCCAAAATTCCCTTGGTTGATGTCGGATTTGTCAGGACCTTCAGCAAACAGCACAGGGTTAGCAACGATAATCTGAAAGAAGAAGAAAAACAAACATATATGAATGTATTAAGACCATAAGATTATTTTTTGTTTATTCATAACGCCGCACTTAGCACGATCAACACCATATGACAGCAGAGTATAAACAATCGAGTCTGGACCAGACAAATCAGCGACTGATATTATGACCAACGATCCACGAAGTCCGGAAGAGATAACACCCAATCAACCAAGTCACCGAATCTGACGACCACCCACCCGTTTAGTCGTTTCTTACGACAAACACAGGATGCTTGGGACCTTTGCTCTTTCCTGGAATCCCCACTGGTGTCTTACGGGGATTGGCAAGTTCAATGATGCTGAGGACATCTAGAGATTACTACACGAGTGTCTTTCAGAAACCATTTATCTTTCAACAAGTTGTTTCAAAACGTACCTAACGAGCGAAAGCTATCATTAGTTATCAAACTTATCATTTGTGATTAGATGAAAAACAGATTCCCATGATCACTAATATGTTATTTTTGAAGTTCAATTCTTCGAGTAAATATCCAATATTTAGATGTCTAAACACAGGGTAAATAACGTTGTGAATATGTTTGATACAAGTTATCTCAAAAAGGTTTCTCATCCACAGGTGTGTGAGAAACTCTTATCCTGTATGCCCACTGGTGGCTAACGGGGTTAGTTGATTGACAAATTCTAGTATGATTGGCGCCTATATTCTTATCTGGAATCCCCGCTGGTGGAAAGATGATTGGCAATTGTTTTATGCTGGGGACCTATATTCTTATCTGGAATCCCCGCTGGAGGTAAGATGATTCGCAATTGTCTTATGCTGCGGACCTATATTAGAAATAGTTATGGACAGCTTTTTATATATTTCCTTATCAGTGCCAAGTTTTGTATTTCAAATGGTAGAAATAATGTAAAGAATGATTTTACTTGTGTTTCATGCAAGGGGGCATCTGTTGTCGATTATTGTATATATCCATATGAGAATGTGAATAGTATATCAGATTTCAAGGTGACACGTGTATCTGAGCTGGTGGATGCAGCGGGGTGTGTAGGATGTGTCAGTGGTCAAGCCATAACCAAAAGGGACCATTCGTTTCTATCATGGAGTGTGAAACTACCTTCTGTGTCTATAAGTGATCATGTTCAAGAATGCGTGACCAATTCTCTGTGTATGACTAAATATGATGTATCAACTGTGCCTGACACTTTTATGAGTTCAACTAACTGTGAACATATACTTCATGAAGCCATCAATAATCTGGAAGCTTCTAGCTGTCATCAATCTGATATTGATGCGGCCTACAATATTTTTACTTGTACAGTGAGAGAGGAGATGGACCGAACTCTACCTAACAGAAAACTCACCTTTACATGGGGACCAAACAAGAGGAGGCGGTTGAGGAAGAAACCATGGTGGAATAAAACACTTAACGAACTGTGGACTGACATGTGTAAGGCAGAACGTGAATGGTATAAGTGTAAAACAGTTAGAAAACGCTGTCTTCGTGAGATATTCACTCATAAAAGGAAGATATTCGACAAGGAGACAAGAAAATGTAAACGTAACTATAACACAGAATGCCTGTTTGAGCTGGAAAACCTATGGAAGAAAACAAGAACGATTTTTGGAAGAAGATTGGAAAGATAGGGGTGGGATACAACAGAATTCAGTGTGTACCAATGGAGGTGAGACTAGAGGACGGCAGTCTATCTGCTGACAAAGAGACTGTGCTGAACACCTGGAGAGACAAGTACAGTGTTCTACTGAATGGTGAGACTTCAAATACTCCGAGGAGGAAGTCAGCCCAGGTGAAGAAGAGGGACCTTCTCATGATGCAGACAGCCTCGAGATCAATAAAACCTTTACATGCGAGGAAGTGTTTGGGGCGGTAGGATCAGCTAGCAGAAATAAGTCTCCTGGTTGTGATAACATCGCCACTGATGTTATGAAAACTACCAACTGTATCCAGTTTCTTCATAAACTTACGGCCGTTAGTTTTATGTTCAAGGTTAAATGCCAATCTTTATGATATGTCTGATGTTGATCAGTTAGGTTTTATTATGTCATGCCCATATATTTTTTAAGTTACTGCCAAAACCTGCATGGATGTCTTAGATGTTAGAAAATTACTTTTTTATACATCTTAAACTTTTATAAATAGTTTATGCTGTTTATCCTTTTTACTAACATATATATATTTATTCCATATTTTATGTCTGTGTATAATTTCGTTCTATAGTCTCTCATAATCCCATACGGGATGGCTCATCACATGTATTTTATCACGTGACCTGTATATACTTTTTTATTTGTTTGAGGTGAGACATGAAATAAATTACCTACGTATATTCTTATCTGGAATCCCAGCTGGAGGTAAGATGATAAGCAATTGTTTTATGCTGGGGGCCTATATTCTTATCTGGAATCCCCGCTGGAGGTAAGATGATAAGCAGTTGTTTTATGCTGGGGGCCTATATTCCTATCTGGTATCCCCGCTGGAGGTAAGATGATAAGCAATTGTTTTATGCTGGGGGCCTATATTCCTATCTGGAATCCCCGCTGGAGGTAAGATGATAAGCAATTGTTTTATGCTGGGGGCCTATATTCCTATCTGGAATCCCAGCTGGAGGTAAGATGATAAGCAATTGTTTTATGCTGGGGGCCTATATTCCTATCCGGTATCCTCACTAGTACTGATTTCTCACGGGTGATAATTGGCAAGTTATATGATAATTGCAGTCTGTATTCTTATCCTGAATCCTCTCTGGTGTTTTATGGGGGTAAGATGATTGGCAAGTTATATGCCTGGGACTTTTACTATTTTCGTTGTCTTTGAATGAGTGAGTAGTGCTTTGTGGGCGTTTTAGTAAAATTCCTGCAGTAAAACCATGAAGACATGGAGAGTTAGATTCACAACTACTACCTCTGGATTTTAGGCTTGAACTGTAACGCTTATGCCACTGGACCACCTAGCCGTCTTTGGTGTTTTATTGAAACATGAACGCTATGTTTTATGGATAACGACATCTTTAGTGTTGAAACGACGTTTTAGGGCTACTCCTTGTCATTTCATCAGGTGAACACTGAGTGAACATCCCCGAGCTTATGTTTTTATTTATGCGTGTATTATACATGCTGATATGTCTACATATGGTAGGATTAATGTACAACGATAACACTATGACGAGGAGTGAGTGACTGTGGTTTTACGCCACTTTTAGCACTATTCCAGTAATATCACGGCGCAGAAGATCCCGGGTCTTCGGCGTGACGAGCGAACGCTTTAATCACTAGACTACCCCCACCGCCCCCTAGGACGAGTAGCAGGACAGGGAAGCCAATAAAGCCTCAGTGAAAACAGAGTGATAGGTGTGATATCAAAGAGTGAGTGAGTGAGTTGGGCTTAACCCCACTTTTAACAGTATTCCAGTTATATCGCGGCGTGTCAGCTTAAGGTGGAGGAAATCCCGAAGTGATGCAGGTCGCAGACGTTTACCACTTCGGTGAAACCCACGAGCACGGGTATGGTGCTGACAAACCTAGAAACATAATCGGAGCGAACCGGGATTCGAACCCACAATCATAGGTTTCTGGCGTGCCCAAAGGACGCAACTCTGCACAGCGAATCGCGGCGCCTTAGACGACTGGGCGACCCGTGCCCCCTGATATCAAAGAGCTGACTGAGCAACAATGTATTGCACAGCTATTATATGTAAGAGGTAAGTAGTTGAACGTACGTGTGGTCTCTTCCAGTCCAGGTAGTAGACTTCATGGTTCGACGGATAAGGAAAGTCCTTATCTGTCCACATCCGGCAACATTCAGAACAACCTGCACACCCACCACATCCACCACATGTGCCAACACGGGGGCGTGGCGCCCTGTATGCTGTTGGCACTTGTGACGCCCTGAAATCCACTGAGCAATACTTCAATGAAGACCCACGAGGGTCGTCCATATACTTTCCTTCATTAACACCGATGGTGACACCATCGTCGAAGTTATAAAATACATCTCCGGTGTCTTGTTTTGAGGATATACATCCCATGCTTGACAGATGTTGAAATGGTGTGCCTTGGCCTATTAACAAAGAAGTCCATACACATCAGTGGGAGAATGAGCTGTCTGTGGCATCTGTATTCAGAGTATTGCCTCAACTGATGATGCGATCAACCATTTGCTTATCTGGTCCCCGTGATAAGTCTGTATAACTTTCTGTAGATAGAGTATATCAACATTCACTGACTGTCATATCCCACACGATTGCTATGTGAAATAGCATGGTGGTTACCCCTAGTACGCCTTGGTAACTATTTAGGTCAACAACGCAGGCCCACGGAACCAACAAATGCGCGCAGCTGGGTAGAAATAATGCCTTATCTATGGGGTGGCAGCAGTAACCTGCACCTAATGCCTAAACCATTCAAGTCCACAGATGCATTACCACGAGTGTGTGCGTGGGCCTGCAAATTCCCCATCAAGCAGGGAAACACGACCTATACTGTAACTTTATGTAGACGTTTATGTGGGTGGCAAAAAAATACAACTGGCGTCACACATGAGCGACTCTCCATACATGTCTAGCGTTGAAAAACCTCGATCAGAGGTCACGAAAAACAACACGCTGTAGATATCTTTTATACGAATGCTTCAATCTGAATAGCACACTTTGCCCATCACATGTATGGTAGGTAGATTGGAGAACGGATGACACACGCAATAAGCATTTGACAGTTGATGCACTAAACCATTGATGTGTGATATTCAATGTCAGTCGAGATAGCATACTGTAACAGGTGTCAATACATAATGGCATAACGTTGTCTATAAGCTGCATATTTCCATAACATGTTGCTACAGGTCTCGATATTGTATGACATGTCTCACATAAAGATTTTAGATGCAGGTTTGTTTGTTGTTTAACGCCGCACTCAGCAATATCACAGCTACATGGCGGCGGTCTGTAAATAATAGAGTCTAGACCAGACAATCCAGTGATTAATATTATGAGCATCGATCCATGCCATTGGGATCGATGACATGAATCAATCAAGTAAGCGAGCCTGACCAGCCGATCCCGTTAGTCGCCTCTTACGACAAACATACTCTCCTTAAACATGCCGCCATTTGTGATTGTTATTTCCCAACTCAGTTCTCCCTCGAAACATGTTATTGACATTATTCTATTTACATGAATTTGAAAGAATATATCATAACTTACAAAGCGAATCGAGATCGGGTCCTTTCAAATATCACAGTTTGGTATAAGCGAACAGCGAACAGGTTGTAGTGTAGCCATTGTCAGTTACCCGGGAGGCCATTCAATGTGAGGTACACAAAGTGAATCTATCCACCATGCACCATGCTGAGAATAACACGTCGATACAATGAGGCAGTGCATGTATGATATGTATAGGTCTATTCTTACCTCAGTATATACGTTGTGTTTTGTACACGTCATGTAGGGCCGAATCTGACATTGATATGCTTATATACTTATTTCATGTGATTAAATATAGAATTAGAGCACATAAATAATATCATGTATATCTATACATGTATTTTTACAAGTATGCACCTCCGTAAATCGATATATGATAGATTTTATATAAACATGAATCAACATTTTTTTGCCACGAAAATGAAATATTTGTCGTATGGTGCATGGTCTAATCTATTATTCATACTTAATTATGCATTAACGTTGTGTTCACGTTCTTATATCACAACGTTGATAAGCTGTAAGCCTGAGGCAACTTGTCTCATTGTGTTTCAATGGTAATGTTTGATATGTAGATATTGACTTTATCTGTAGTACATTCTATCCACTAAATATATGTGTATATATATACACTTATTTCAGACATAAAAGACTCGTGGTCGTTCCTAATCGTGCAACAAACACTGCAAATTCGTGTTACGGTATTTGAATATGACCACCCGATTTCGTTAGTCGCCTTTTACAGCAAGCACGAGTTGCTGAAGACTTATTCTAACCCGGAACTTCATGGGTCTCTTACTACATGTAATGGTGATGTGTACATATTCTAAACCTGGTCGCCACAAAGGTTTAATATGAACTCCATTATGTACCTGGACTCTTTATTTTATCTTCTGGTATCGTCATGAAATATATTAAACTTGATCGTATGATTTAAATATTATAAAAAATAGTCAGAAAAGAAGAAAACAACAGAGACTAACTTCGCTTTTACTTTCTCGACAGGAGCATACTTGATCACATATCAGTCTACACGCATGAATAGTTACAGCTGATCTTGTTTCATCAGTCGTTGGTCAGCCGAGGACAAATATACATCCCAAGACGCTCGCAGACTTCCAATAACATCCTTGTGGCAAGATGTGATGGATGTAACGCGGCGGTCCTCGAGAATCAAATAAAAAATAAAGTAACTCAAATACAACAAGAGCCGAATCCCATGTTTTTAATTTACTTGTTTAGACTAAAACCAAACGAAAGCATGCCCAATATGTCTATCCCGTAAACACTATCATCCTTTGGCCGTAGTTGTTTTGACTGATCAAAGATGAATGACACAATCAGCTAACAAACACGCCCCAAGGCATAAACAACAACCTTCCCGCGATTATGTCACAATCAGCCTTCCACCATCAAGGTATTGTGACACAATCAGTCTTCCACATCAAGGTATTGTGACACTATCAGTGTTCCACCATCAAGGTATTGTGACACAATCAGTCTTCAATAATCAAGGTATTTCGACATAATCGGCCTTCCATCATCAAGGTATTGTGACACAATCAGTCTTCCACCATCAAGGTATTGTGACACAATCAGTCTTCCACCATCAAGGTATTGTGACACAATCAGTCTTCCACATCAAGGTATTGTAACACAATCAGTCTTCCACCATCAGGGTTTGTGACACAATCAGTCTTCCATCATCAGGGTTTGTGACACAATCAGTCTTCCATCATCAAGGTATTGTGACACAATCAATCTTCCACCATCAAGGTATTGTGACACAATCAATCTTCCACCATCAAGGTATTGTGACACAATCAGTCGTCCACCATCAAGGTATTGTGACACAATCAGTCTTCCACCATCAGGGTTTGTGACACAATCAGTCTTCCATCATCAAGGTATTGTGACACAATCAATCTTCCACCATCAAGGTATTGTGACACAATCAATCTTCCACCATCAAGGTATTGTGACACAATCAGTCGTCCACCATCAAGGTATTGTGACACAATCAGTCTTCCACCATCAGGGTTTGTGACACAATCAGTCTTCCATCATCAAGGTATTGTGACACAATCAATCTTCCACCATCAAGGTATTGTGACACAATCAATCTTCCACCATCAAGGTATTGTGACACAATCAGTCGTCCACCATCAAGGTATTGTAACACAATCAGTCTTCCACCATCAGGGTTTGTGACACAATCAGTCTTCCATCATCAGGGTTTGTGACACAATCAGTCTTCCACCATCAAGGTATTGTGACACAATCAGTCGTCCATCATCAAGGTTTTGTGACACAATCAGTCTTCCACATCAAGGTATTGTGACACAATCAGTCTTCCATCATCAAGGTATTGTGACACAATCAGTCGTCCACCATCAAGGTATTGTGACACAATCAGTCGTCCAGCATCAAGGTATTGTGACACAATCAGTCGTCCACCATCAAGGTATTGTGACACAATCAGTCTTCCACCATCAAGGTATTGTGACACAATCAGTCTTCCACAATCAAGGAGCGATGACATATGAGTCCACGCAAACACTGTTAAGGTATGATAATATGGTCTACATTAGTTGTTTTCTTTGATGAGTACACTCACATTAATTGATGACACACTGCACCTAGTTTCATAAATATGTTCAGTTGTCAGTTGTATGATTCCGTCTGTTTCATCAGCATGAGTTTATGAATCACTATAAATGAGGATATCGTGTGTTGGTTTAAGGTGAACGTATCACGTCCCATCAGTGCACAGACACATTCAAAGGAAAGTCATACGTTCACACACATTCCTCCAATTTTTTAAAAACTTTTAGCAATAGTCGAAACACACATTGCAACACAAATCTTTATATCCATTTTGTGTACAGATACATCCACCTTCGATTACTTGTAAATCCCAAAAGTAAATACTAATTACAAAATACCGTAACTTTATTTTATTCAGAGTTCACTATATTTACTCTTCCAAAAAAAAGAAACTTGACACTGACTTTCAAAATGTAATATAATGCGATTGTTTCAAACTAGGGCACAGAAACCATAATTGAAACGCTGTTTGAAGATCAATGTACACAATGTTCAAAATATTAATCGTGTCACCTAGACAGACACACGTACATGATACAGTTAATGTCACAGGGGTACAGAAAATGTCAGTATCGGTTGTGCCCACCACGTGCATCAATCACCGCTTGACACCGACGACCCATAGATGCAATCAAGTTGTCAATAACACGCTGTTGGATGTGCTGCCATTCATGCCGAAGTGCATCAAGAAGCGCCGGAAGTGTATGGGACGGTGGATTCCTTCTACGAAAGCGTCGATCCAACTCGTCCCACAGATGCTCAATCGGGGACAAATCTTGTGACCGGGCTGGCCAAGGTAATGTCTGGATGTTGTGCTGTAAGAAGTCCTGACAAACACGTGCAATATGCGGTCGAGCGTTGTCCTGCTGGAACTGTCCGCCATGAACGTTGACGTGAGGAAGAACGTAAGGCTGTAGGATCAAGGCTCTGTAACGCACACCTGTCAATGCCACATGCACGAGAGGCGTCCTACCACCGTGATGAATTCCGGCCCATACCATGACACTCCCGCCGCCAAATGGGACAACCTGCAGCACACAGTTGGGGGCGTAACGTTCACCCCTAAATGCAGGATCCTGTGCTGCACGTTTTTTACAGGCGGTTGCGTTTGGATGAAGCTGTAAAATTGATTCCCAAACGCTCCGTTTATATGCTTTGCATGTGTTTTCTCGAATTATAGACACATCATCTTTCTGTTTGACTTGTTTGGTTCTCATTTAATGTAATTATTTTAGATATTTGGCAAAAAGTGGTTTTACATCTATGTCAAGTTTCTTTTTTGAAGAGTATATATATTGATTTCAGCAAAACGATGTCTCAATGCCTCAAAGTCGTTTTGTGAATTTTATGGAGCAACTGTAGTTGTTGTGATTTGAATCGAAGATATCCACGTCGCTATGGCAGTATATACATTACATGAAGAAACAACTCACATCAATACCACGCTACACGATATCATCGTTATACACAACACAACTGTTGTGTTAATCATTCCCTTTTCCACATATATACATCACTTGAAGAGTCACATGGGTATCCATTTTGAGGTGAGGTGAAATGGGGTTAAACGACGCGTCCAAGATTATTGCACTTACATAGCGACGTGCATGCATGTGTTTGTGTGTGTGTGTTGCTGCTGGTACAAGTCCGGACTGTTGCCGATTTATAGTCCTATCCCAGTGAGATACCATGCCGTATTTTAAGATGAATACCCCACTCAGACACAGTATACTGACTCCGAGGCGACCATTCCTTGTTTTAGCCCCTTAATGCCGAGCGCCAGACAGGGTAACAACAACTACAATCTTTTAACGTCTTTTGGTATGAAGCCACCGGGGATCGAACCCCGGACCTTCCGTTCTCCGAGACGCTTTACCACTAGGACTAGGAGGGGGTCGTATCCATTCTGAGGAAGATCATACATGTAAATGCGAAAATACTAAGAGGTACTCTCCCTTAAATTCCCAAGCCATCAGTCGTTGAAAATTTGACTTGGAAGACTTGTATTATCATGTCGAAGGATGTAAGGGAGAAGATAGGACGTAACAGTCATATATTTGCCTCATGAATAATATTTCCCTTCCACAGCAAGAATGTGGGGTAATATCATAGTATAGGACAGAATCTCTGCACCAAAGTTCAGGATAAAGCGACTGTGATTGCGTTAGATATCACATTAGTTTTGTATGACAATGCATATATTTCTGTAAAATAAATGTGTATTTAATGATGTTTAGTTGTGTATCTATCATACAAAAAAGATTCAATAATTTGTAATAATTTCTTTCAAAACGTTTTGATATGAAAAATACCAACAAAAATATGCTACGTATACGGATGATTGATTTGTTGAACACGGATAAGTTGTCACTACAATATCGTTTAAATTCAGTCGACAATTGACTCCTTGAAAAACTGTATCTGGGCCGATCTGATATAGCACTTCGCTTGGTTCACACTCATTTATGTACCGCCCAGCAGTACAGAACCATCAACAGAATCAACACTGACATTGAGATTATGTCCCACATCCTTGGCTTGTTTAAGAAAACTATGGAATGTCTTGTTTTCATTATGGGGCATGCTTCACAAGATGATCATCAGATAAATAAATGTGTGCAAAAATGCACAAACCAGTTCTATCATAAAACGCCTCTTCGTTAATCAAACCACGCCCTCTCCATTATAACTTGAATACATCAGCGATTGAGGTAAAAACAAGGGTGGTGGGATCTATTGTCATCCATGTAAAGGAGGTAAGACGTGTTAGAATCTGTGTGGAGGAGGTTAAGGACGATTACCTTCATTAACCAAAACGCTTGAAGGATTTAGTGAAAAACAGAAAAGTAAAGGACGAACAGATTCTTCTTGAAATATTCTCTTCTAATAGAAATGGGTTCTGAAATCACCATCTGCACATGCGAATACATCTCAAGTTGAGTTGACCAGCAATTCAGTAAAGACTTGAGTAAAACAAGTAGCTGCTCGGGGAGTTCAAGGCATTCCAGTGACTTCAAAATCCATTCGTAATACCATTGGTTGCAGTCAATTGCCTGTAAGACATTTGTCATTAGATTTGAACTGGTTTTTCTTTTGATGATTTTGTTTTTACCCTTCTGTGGTTCAATGTCTTTTAGAAACTGTATGGTGTCCCTCCAGCGTTAGGGCAGTGGTATATGTGCAACAGTTAATGTCATGCAAAGAACAGTACGCACTGAGAGTAAAAGAACTAAAGTCATTTTTTTAAGTTGATTCTGTCTTAATGATTGATTACATCGTTTTATTAGCCTCCCTTCCTAGAGCGGTAAATCACAGATTTCATTATAAAACAAGAGGCGGAAAACTCATAAACTTCAAGGCCAACATAAGGGAATTCATTTTGGGAGCCCATCAGTGGGTCATCAGTGACAACTGCATCAGGTAATTTGGGGAGAACAACGCAAACGTCCATTTGCAATTGATGGTCTGCTACTGTTGGGACTGAGGGTTCATGCAATGGCGCCTGACGAGCGTTGGCAGTTATCTCACCAGACTCAAGGCGCATATACAACTTCAGTCGCCTGAGCTGGCGGCGTATATTCTGCTCTGTCAGGTGTGCATATTTATTTTACAAACTATGACTGGTTGTTGTGATGTAACTATTCATCGGAACGTTTTTTGTTCGCTCAAATCCTCTTCGTTTTCTCAATAGTCATCAACTGACAGACAGTGGATTGTCAATAATGACTAGGTTTACATTAACCTCCACTTCCTCTGCACTCTAGCTGTATTAAACTCTGAATGATGTGATTTGCTACATGTGATATCAACACCAAGACTTAGGATTAAGGACAAGGCGATAAGAATGTGTCTTTACAAATTTATTTGCACTAACAATGCTGGAGGTAAATGCTTGTCATATCACAAAATGGAGAAGAGATAGATAATTATCCCCAAATTATATCCTTATATTAGTCGGTGCATTTGTCAATATAATATTCTTGTCAGAGCCCCATCGGTCACTATCTTGCCGGTGCTTGTTGCAGCAGTCAAGACAACAAGATTGGCCTAAAGTTGTGTAGCACTGGGAGTCGTGTCTGGTCTGGAAAGACAATGCAACTACATTAGTCAATTTCTCCTCATATATAGCATGTTGTACACGAGTATTGCATATTTGATATCAAGTCAAAACTATGTTAAATAATGCCATGTGTATACAAAACATAGTGTCAAAGATTGACAGTATTCCAGAGGACATATATCATTCCTGATCATCAACTGATCATTGGACAAAGGCGTTTTCTTCTGTGAAGAAACTCCAGTTAACTTAAAAAATACTTTTGCAAAAGTACTACAGTATTTCAGCCAAATAAAAGCGGAATATACAATGTAAATTGTTCGGCAGCCAGCAAATATGGACATGAAGAGGGCAGACGAGAGCTAATCATAGTTTCTTTGTTGTACTGAGAGTTCAAAAATTAAAATGTTTAACAAGATTTGTTCACCAGGTTGACGACCAGCTTAGCGTTCATATAATTGCCTGGCACCCATCACCCATCCGGCTATCCACCACCGACATGTCACATAGTTGATATCCCCTCTGAAAGATCTGGACCAGTGAAATCAAACCCATGGTGTTAAGAATGACACCTATCACGTTGACTGGAAACATGGAATTAACCTGAAATATGTCAGTGATGGATGCAAATTATGAAACACAGCTTTGGACCAATGCTCGGTTCTCTGCGATGATATGGTATAGCGTGAATGTATAGAGGGTTTTCAAATACATCTTACTATTTTATCAATCTATTTCTACCATTTTGAACATCGATTACCAATAAAACATTAATAACATAATAAAATCGCATTAGAGATACAGGGTAATGTAGTTAAAAATTAAAAGTACTACATCCTTCTTGTTATTGGGAACAATATTCCATTTAGAAGAAGTGATATTCCAGTTCATAAGTGCGTTTGATAGATACATGTTTTGATTCCTCAACACCTTCATAGAGTAACTATGTTGTGAAGAAATCATCTGTATATCCATATGCTGAAAATAGAAATAACAGATATGGCATCATTTGGTTACAAATATTTACACAATATGAATTAATTATCAAAAGACTGAATTAAGAGGGATTTTAGTTTATTCGTATGTAAGTAATACTTTACAATAAATAGAATTGTTAACTGTCGTAAACGTCACAGCTGCATGTTGACACTTTGGATAGTGTAAGGTGTCCCAAGCTGAAAGCTGATATCTCACAGACCAAACACTCACTTTTAACCACAGCGACACACATGCTCTACAGACCATCAAACGCACCGATCACACAAACATATGTAACAGGTAGTCTGACAATATATATGCACAAACAATCGCATGCAGCGGTAAACTATGATACCATTATCAAAATATAACAATTTGTTTAACTTGGGTTAAAAGTTTTAGAACTTCTAAACCTTTAACTCCATATGTGAGCAGCTAGACACATATGCAGTAAACACAAATGTATTAATTAATTACGTTTATTCATGTATCTTTACTTAAAATCACGGTTAGCAATGCAGAAGAACAGAATATTGGGTTCTTAACATTACAGAACGAAAAGACCTTCCCGTTGTAAGAGATGAGTTCAAAAGTAGTGACTGTTCCTGACTGGAAGACCACAGAGGTGGCTGATGCATTGCGTTTATTCTTCGAAAGCTTCACGAACACTAAAACTATTACCTGTTGTGGCGGTCACCGGGACAGCCCTGCTCTTGAACTCCCCATACTGGGAGATGACCACGATGGTGTAGGTTGTGTCTGGCTGGAGGCCGACCAGAGTGTGGGAGGTGGCTGTCTTGTGCATTAGGGTCGTCACCGTCTGTCCATTCACCTCGTAGTTGATCCACATCTCTGTCCGGCTGTAACAACTAGGGGAGTGTTTCCACGTCAGCGTCACTAAGTTCGTTTCTGTCTTTGTGACAGTCACGTCTACAGGTGCTAGCGCTGAGATGAATAAAAAGGAGAAAACCTAGATATGTCATAAATACTGGCACCATCACGAGTCCAAGACATTGACATAATACTGAGTAATATGCTTTCAAATAGTAATGGAGTCCATTCTACGATTCCCACTATTCCCTAAGCATGTGTTTGAAACGCTATTAAATATTAATGATAACAGGTTTTCGCAATAGGGTGAGAGTATCCTGTCCTACCAGTGGTACCCGTCACACAAACATGAAAAGGAAAGCCTGAAGTTGAACTGAACAAACACGGAAACAAGTCAAAATAGGAGTTTCATCCGACATACTTTTTGTCGCTAGGTAGCGTGAGTTTCAAAAGCGCGCTGTCATAGTACTGTTATTCACAGTAAATCATCGTCCTTTGTATTTAACTTGGAAACAAAATGTTGACCTTAAATCGCAATCACATTAACACCCTACTTACATCCTTGTGTTCCATTCAGTGTATCTAGTTTATCCACCTGTAATAAAGATGAGTGCCACATTAATAGAACATAGCAAATATTGGATCAAATTAACACTTTATGAAACAACATGTCACTATCAGACTATGATATTGTTTTTAAATATTTATTTCATTTTTAATTGTATTGTATGCCTGAACATGGACATCGTGTTGGTTTGCATAATCTCAAAATCCTTTATTTATGTCACAAAATAGAACCAATTGTATCATTATCAATTGTCCAGCATCCAAAACTGATATTAACCACACTCACAGTGAAGCTCTTTGTTGTATGGATGCCCGCCATGTTCACAAAATCCATGTCCATTGTCACCGTCTGTGATTCCAACATTGGGTGTTTTAACCAGCAGTTGCTGATGGGCAGAAACTGTGTCTTGTTGAAGCAGACTGGATTGACGGTGGTACAGTAACACGTTGAAAAGCTGTCACACGCCTGTGGAGAAAGTTGTGTTGTAAGGCAATTGCATTTGAGACCATTTTTTATATAAAGAAGCAATAAAATGAGAAACGGTTCTCTCAAAGGTAAATTTTGTTTTGAGGAACAATAAGTGTCCAACGGTTCACTATATGTACTTACATCAATGGTTCTGAGAGGCAAAGTTTCATTAACAATCATTAGATTGTTGCTCACTTTCCTGACGAAAAGGTTCACACGTTTCAGACCACTCTGCATATCCCGAACATTGACTTCAACACTGTAATAAAAGGATGTAGACATTGTTGATTATTTGTTTAGAATAAAGCCGTAAGACAAAACGAAAGATCAAGGCACTGTTGTTCAGCAGGAACGGTCAATGTGAGCTGAATGTAATATGAAATGATTAAGAAAAATAACGGAATCGTTTTTGCAGCCATAACGACATTTTGAAAAAATTTAAAAAGGGCATGGTTTCATATGATTGTAATCGTTTTTTATTTGTAAAGGCAAAAAACAGTAATATAAAATATTTTGTATGATGAAGGATTTTTAATATTCGAAACAGTCCACAATAGCAAACGTTATGTGCAGTTGATCGCCCAAACGATTTTTTTAAACCAAATCTCTTTGTTAACTGTAAGTATATCCCACCTAATTATCACCTTTGGGAGAAGGATGCAGATGCCCAGACAATTGTAGAATATTTAACAATAACTAAATAAGTTAATCCAATGCCAATGACAATTTGAAGTCACATGGTGGTTCTAAATGTTCTAAGACTTTATAAGTATGAATATGTTTAAACTATCTCCTCCCGGAATGAAAAGAAATCTAATCAATGTGAGTTACTTCACATCAACAAATGGTTTCGATTCCGAGACAATCCTGCGTCTGAGAGGAAGATTCCATAAGATCATCAATAGTCGGAGCTGAACAGAAGAACAGACACAAAACAGGCGACGAACAATGTGTCCTGCTGGTGGACCAACAAACAACACAAAGGTGTTAACATGGAGAGTATGTATGCAACTACTCACGTGGAACTAAATGGAACATTGTTGGTCTGGATGTTCCTCCGGAACACAGGCTGCTCGACTTCAGGTGGTGTATCATCAAAGTGAACCCTGGTAAAATTTACCCGGGTGTTACCTAGGACATCTGTAGCTCTCACCCAAACTGTCACTGTGTCTCTGTTCGTCAATGGAGCTCCGTGTGAACCTATAAATCGTACATGTTTACTCATTATTTCAGAACCGAAGGATATTTACTTGATACGAAAGCACAATTTTTCTGAGATAACACATTTATCGCGATTATTATGCGCGTTGAATGTCATATATCATGCCCTGCTAAAAACTGTTGTAAAAAAAACACACTGATAATTTGAGCTGTACAAATATTATGCTGTGACAAAAAAAGTTACCTGCAGGTATAATGTATGTTTCATTGAGTCCGACATCCACCCAGCCTGAGGTTGGTTCCTGCTGATTCTTGCCACCATTACTGTCCTTCCTAACAACAACCTCAAACTTGACAACACCTCTCCTGTTTGGTATTGCGTCTACTGTCCTCTGTCCTTCGTGGTCATCCTGTCCGGAGTCTTTAGGGATGTCTTTCAAGAAGTCCTCGAGCTGTGGGGGGTAGGCAAGGACTTCATTTAACCACTTGCCCTCCTCATGCCTCAGGTTGACAAAGTGGTTGGTCCATGTGACCGTGACGGGTCTAGAAGGATCGTCTTGCCAGTTGTATCCCCCTCTAGGATCAGCGGATGATATGTAAAGTCGGTTATCTGCCCCTTCATCTATAGTAACACTAGAAACAGGGTCGTATATGGCGATCCTTCTTACAAAGATAGAGTTATTGGCCTTGTCTGAGGCCTCCAGGATGAAGGAGTAAACTCCAGACTGTGAAGGCCTGTAGGTGGCCTGGAAGGAGTTTGAGGCAGATGATGACTGATTGACTTCAATAGGACCATGTATGGGCATCAAGGGTTCAAACTCCTTCAGCACCTGATTCTCATCCACCTGTAGCCGGAAAACCTCCCAGGCGTAGCGATGCATGCCTGACGGTACGTCAGTCCAGTTGGACCAGCGGAGAATGACAGAACCCTATTGTGAAATTGTAAATACATGTATACAAGCAAAAACAGGTGAAATATGCGTTATGAAGAACACAGGTGTTATAAGCCAATACAAACCACTATTATCAGATTTAGATTTCGCACTTCAAGGTTACATCGACACCACTCCATTCATATTTATCCATTAAGTTATAAATTATTAAAAATATACTTAATTCCAAATTTGCACTCATTTGTTGGCAGAAATTATCTGTAAGAATTATCCACAGTATGCAGTTTGAAAGAACACATGATGAATGTCGGTTATGTCATTACTATATGTTTCGAGTGGAATAAAGTAGCACTTGAAGCTGCTCTACATGTTCATAAGGGGTAGTGTAGCGTGAACACATATCCCCGTCAAAATATAACAGAGAAAGGTTTGAGGGACATTTTTTTCTATCTGCTCTGAGAGCAGAACGAATTGGGCCAATACAATATTCGCCCTGGTAACATTGTTGGTCATTTGGATAAAAAGGTAGAGTACCTAAAAACAAAACTAACCTGTGACGGACTAGGTACTCATTGTTTACGCCAACATATACCAGTATAACGTAACTTAACAATAGTATTATTTATAAAGAACGTAGTGTCCGTGCAAATGTCATTCAGAGTTGGTCCCCCGTGAATGACATGGTATTTTGTGTTAGTATTTATCATGCATTATCATATAACAGCATTATAATTATGTAATAATAATGTAATGTTATAACATAATAACAGTCAGTTATATCCTGATGAGGCCCGTACATAATAGTTGAAAGCGCTAATCAATAAACGGCTGTCATTTCTAATTCAAGAAATGAAATTCGATATATTACTAATAGAGTGCGGCCTTAAACAACAAACAAACAAACAAACAAAACATGCAAACTCAATATATCATACACCTAAAATTCAAAAATTTGTTATCATTCATACCTTTGTGATATCATCATCCAATGAAAAGACGGAAGTACACCTCGATCCTATTTCGAGACATGTGTGAGTTGGTGTCAGGAAGTCAAAACGGTAAGCCATGGTTTTCTCCGAATTTTGTCCTATAAAGTTTTGAAACTGTCGATCAACGAACTGATTTCCAGTAAACTCCCTCAGTTGTCGGTAACCTCCACTCCACACTTTGAATGTAATGGTCAACCTGAAGAGAAGTCAGGGTGTAAACATGGTGTTTTCAGATTTGCGGGTAATACGTATTCAGTGCTCAGCAATGTCAGCTGAACTGAATCCTTAACTCTCAGGCTATCAGATACTCAATACCATCGACAAGTCTGACTGTGTGTCCACAATATAAATATGTAATCGGCGATTTCTTCCAAAGAATCGCCTCCTCTAACCGTTGTGAAAACAAATGTCATGATGTTATCATGATGTCATATCCCTCCTTTATAAGTCGACCCGTGAAGATCCGGGGTAGAACAGGGCTTCAGCAACCCATGCTTGCCGTAAAAGGCGAATATGCTTGTCGTAAGAGGCGACTAACGGGATCGGGTGGTCAGGCTCGCTGACTTGGTTGATGCATGTTATCAATCCCAATTGCGTGGATTGATGCTCATGATGTCAATCACTGGATTGTCTGGTCCAGACTCGATTATTTACGGACCGCCGTCATATAGCTGAGTGCGGCGTTAAACAACAAACCACCCAACCACCCAGCTTAATAAGTCAAACATATGGATAACACACTATAGAAACATGCGTACGCAGTTTTTCTGTAAAATATCATTTACACTGCATATATCAAAATAGAATGAATACAGTATCTAATGATGCCGTGACGAATACCATGTCGTTTTAATATATGGAAATGACCATGGCTCTATATTTACCATGGTACGTGACCCGTGAAAATCCGGGGTAGAATAGGTCTTCAGCAACCCATGCTTGCCGCAAAAGGCGACTCAGCTTGTTGTAAGAGGCGACTAACGGGATCGGGTGGTCAGGCACGCTGACTTGGTTGATGCATGTCATCGATCCGAATGGCGTGGATCGATGCTCAAAATGTCAACCACTGGATTGTCTGGTTCAGACTCGATTACTTACAGACCGCCGTCATGTAGCTTGAATGTTGCAGAGTGCGGCGTTAAGCAACAAACTCACTCACTCACAATGGTACGTAAATGAACTCGTATTGACAATGCTCTTTAACCAATAAAATTACGGCACATAAATCTGTTTGAGTATATCCACAGCGTATAAACGCATCTGAGGATAAGGTATCTTTTATAGCGTGGTTCACTTATCTTCGAAACAGTTCACTTATCTGTTTATGTCCATGAACATTAATCTGTCGTAGAGATTACTGATTGTTTTAACTGAAATACTTAAGAATGGATTCTAGCATGACTCTTGTTCGCTACTTTACTACTAGAATAACATACAATAACCCTTTTCTGAGTATGCTATGACAGGTATAATAAATATTGTTGAGAGTACTTGTGTAGGCTATACGTGCTCAAACACGCAAAGTCCTCAACCATATGTCTTTTAGAATTGAGAATGTAATTGCTTCAAAAAGAAATTTACCATGTGTATTTTCTTTCAGTGTGACTCTTTCCAAGAGTGAAAGATTTAATTTGTAGATAAACGGATAAAAAATAATGTCATATTGTTATATCACCACACATGTATTCTAATTCTGAAATCTAGACTTATATGCCCCTTCTACTTCTTCTTATGTTTTGGTATCATGGTCGCAGAACACTTTGTAAAATACGAATCGGTGAAAATTGACGCAGTGACTGGGTAACCCCTAAAGGATCTCAATTTCAAGATGAACGGACAGAGGCATGCAGTCATGGGCACGATGATCACGAGGTGCTTGAAAACCTGGTGGTTGTGACAGAATCGTTGCACATCATTATTAGAGAGCACAACAACATGTGCTACTAAGGATTGCAACAACTGAATGCACTTATAATCCATTGACGTCAAATACGTCGTTTGACGACCGAAGAATTAGGCACATGCATAGGCACGCTGGAAACTGGGTCAACACAACGTCTGTGGTATCAGCCAAAGTGTGGTCAGCAGGGCATGGAATCAATACCAGACGTTTGGATCAGTTACGCAGCGACAGGCAGGTGGTGGACATAGTTCCACCACACAGGGTTGGTTGCAGCTAGACGTCATCCCTTAAGACTGCCACCAAGCTCGGAAGCGTCCAGCGGAACGACAGTGGCGTTAACGTTTCTACTCAGACAGTGCGATATCCCCATCTTGAGGCTAGTCAACATTTTCGGCGAACATGCATTCGCATCCCATTGACCCGACATCACAGGCAGGCATATGCTCGGATTGGGCTGGAGTTCACGTCAATTGGTCAGAGCAAGATGGGGCTCAAGTACCTTTCACTGATGAATCGAGATACTGCCAAGACTTCACTGATCATCGTGCCCGAGTATTGAGTCGACAAGGAGAAAGATTTCAGGATTCCATCTCAGCTGAACATAACCGCTCTGAAGGGGGTTCATTCATGACTTAAGTGGCGGTGGAAGAACCGATCTCCATACCCTACAGAGGGTCATGGCGACTCTACAGGAACTCGGCAATGCCCTTAATGAAAAATGGTACAATCTTCCCTTGGCAACCATCTGGACACTTATTAGGAGCATCAGACGGCGGTGCAAAGCTGTGATCGGAACGTGTATCACATACGCGCTCCTGAGACTTGTTGCTTTATACAATGAATTTGGTTTCGTGATTCTTTTACATTTCATTTCTTGTCAGATACTCTAATTTTGACGCGTGATCTAAGTGATTGTTGGGCACATGTTGTTTGGTTGCCTTGTGTGGTACATGACAACGGACCTTTGTTCATTAAACATGCACATGCCTTCACGCAATATAGTCTCTGACTATTTCAACACAGTTTGACGTATAATGTTTTGGTAGTATATACATTGTATTCAATCTCAAAGGACACGTGTGTTCAGTTTATATGGTTACAGCTTTTCACAGTTGGTGTCATAAAAGATTGACAGTAGCGGGTGACCTCGCCCAGGTGAACACTACCAAGCTGACTGTCGTTCATTTCCCGATGAACGTCAGTATATGACGGGATTACGTTGTCAATCGAGCGGAGACATACAGAACTACTTTTGGGGAATTCCTCTATGTCTAAAAATAACATCAGTACAACTGACGACATCGATTCAGGCCATGAATGATGTGGGTTTTGAGGCAAGACAGATCAATATATGTGTCGGGTCACCGAAATGAAGCATCCATTCGAAGCTATAACAGAGAATGCTCGACTTACCAAAAGAAATCACTGAGATCCACACTGTCGTGTATTGCTTCGGGGAATCCAACTGTGCCACCTCAAGCGGTAGTCCCCATTATCATCAGCCGTAGTATGACTCAAACACACACCCAAAGTTCACAGAATGTTAATACCAATCCATTTACAGCATCAGCTGGGTCTGGATTTCATTCCAACATTAACTATTTCTGGGTGTTCATTTCAAGTGAATGACATTTCCGTAGCCGCCATTTTCTACCGTTTGTAAAACCAAGGGATGTCACTACAAATGGAATGTTGGGGACGGACTCTCCACGTTAATATAGTTCGCTTTAAATAATTAAAGTTTGATTTTTAATGGATAGTTTTGTTATGATTTATGTATCTGTCAATATAAGGATTGAAGTTGTATTTGTTGACGTTCATCAGCCGATGACGACAGTGCCTCACGTGAGCAAATTTACCATGAAGCGCTTGGCGCATCATGGAATTTGCTCACGTGAGGCACTGTCCTCGCTTCGCGCATCATGGAATTTGCTCACGTGAGGCACTGTCTTCATCAGCTGATGAACGTCAACAAATACAACTTCAATCCTTAAGTATCTTCCAACCCCCTTTACAAATGAAACTTACTTGTCGCCATTTTCGAGAGATCGGTCATAATTGGGTTTGTCAATATCACAGATGTAGGATTCATCAGTTGGTTGTCCACTCGAGACTGCAGGTTCACAGGGTATAGTCTGGTCAAGGCTGACTTGTGCCGTTGTAAAATACGACCCTGTAATCAATCCATTTCTCAAATGTACATGTGTGCATCTTCATACTCCTGATAGATTGGAAAGTTAGCAACTTCATCATATATATAAATCAGTATCCTCAGAACAACATCTTATATCACATTATATACATGTATACCAGATCATGAATATGACTCTTCATGATCATATCACTGTGTAGGTCCAAACATAAATGACCCGTGAAGATCTGGGTTAGAATAGGTCTTCGGTAAACCTACGCTTGTCAAAAGAGGCAACTGACGGGATCGGATGGTCAGGCTCGCTGACTCGGTGGATGCATGTCATCGTATCCCATTTGCATAGGATCGATGCTCATGATGTCAAACACTGGATTGTCTTGTCCGGACTCGATTATTTACAGACCATCGCCATATAGCTTGAATATTGCCGAGAGCGACGTTAAACAACAAGCAAACAAACATACAAACCAAACATACCTGTGTAAGGTATTTTCTCATGATACAGACGAGCTTCAGCACGAGCAATGCCAAGTCCGTAATCCTTGACAAAGAATGGCGACGCAGTGATGTTTTCAGCCATATACTGAGCTGATGCATTGATGTTCAACTGGTTGAACATTTTCCTGTTTGTCCACACGAAGTCAATATCGGTGGAGTTTGTCGAGTCCACATACAATGAATACTTTTCCATGGGCGTTCTTCCTGTTCCTCTCATCCAAAATCCAAATCTTGCTTGCACCTCAAAGATAACTGGTCGTTGATCTGACTCCACTTTAAACATTAAAGACCATGATTGGCGTTAACTGGAACCATCTAAAACAGCTTATACTACGGTATTTCAGAATGATGCATTCTGATTAGACCGCAAGAGGTATAGACTATATGTTAAAGTTCAATTTTGTTGATGAATGCATCACCGCAAAATACAGTATTATTTGAAAGCAGTTCAGTCTCAAACCCGACCGGTAGGCAATAGGAAATACTGCTGTAACTTATTACGCGTTGCATGATGACATGCTGATGTTCTTAGATTAAAAGTAATTCAAAGTAAGTGTGGCAATATATTGTAGACGGAATGCCTGATTGTACAATGACTACGAAAGTGGGTTGTATAATTCACTGACGTCAGCACAGCACAAGTCGATTACGTCCTGTGACGTGCTGTCTACCGCGGCACAATACTTCGACTTCCTATTGTAGGACATTATGGCGTCTTTACAGTGGCGACTCTGGATCTATAGAAACGCATAGTACATATTGTACCACAGTTTGGGCCAGTGTCTCATTCTTGTAACTTATTGCGTTGGTTTTCGGCACTTAATTTTTAAAATTCATGTGATTTGAATCCCGATTTCAAAATCTTATTTTACATGTATGCAATATATATTTCAGGGCCAACAATGGTAAATGCAACGCATTTTACCTCCGACCACTGCAAGGAAGGTGTCCGGTATGCCGATGTTCCCGTCTGGAAGTACCCGTTACGTGCAACAGTTTCCAAACTCTTCAAGCAAGCTTGTATTGCAGGATTTTTTACCAACCATTCACTGGGAGCAGCTAGCTACTAGACTGTACGATCCCGGCCTGGCCGAACGCACTGGACACAGATCTATGGCTATCCGTAGCTACAAGGTATTTTTTTTATTGGCCTTTTTAGATGTATTATTTAGATCTAAAGTCCTAACGTAAATCCTAAAAAGGAAATTTCGCCTTTAAATCTCAAAATCAACTATTTTTATTTATTGAAATACTTAATCACGAATTGCCTGCCTAGGGTTTAAATATTTTCATAAATTTCTTATCTTATGCGTAAGTTCTATTTGTAAATTTACAGGGGGAATTTTCATCCAAAATATTCTACTATTGATGGACTGTTGTACATTTTCAAATTTTAGAGGAAATAAAGAAACTAAGGGAATATGGAACAGACAACAGATTTTTGTAAATGTGGTTATGTAGAACATACTCTCAACTGGTTCAAATAATGAACCTAAATACCTAATAATCGTCGTTTTCATTTTAACGTGTACGGCATTTTGCAACATATAATTGAGACATATTTATATATACCACTCACATTCTCTACAATAATCGCCAGGGCCACTTGGCGGAGACCGGAAGCCTGATGAACAGTCACAGTTGACGTTGTTGCTGCCGAGAGAGGTGCATGTCCCGGGGAAACAGGGCCGCTGATAGTTGCACACCACTGAAAGTGTTAACAGCATATATACTATAACAAAATGTGAACACAGTGTAAATATCACCCATTACAGTTCTGAAACTTAATCCAAACAACTCTGAAGAAGATATTGCTGCAGGTACAGAATATATACGTATTAATGTCCTTGGACTTATTGGTGCAATTTTGCATTTGATAACCGTCTTCGAACATCTGTAATTCAAAACGCAGACGTCAATCATTTCATTTTTCCCATGTGGCTAAACTTTTGTGTATATATGTACACATATATTCTATTTAAGAACCCGTTGAGGACCATGGGATTCTTTCATATTACAATAGTAAATCTAGTTATTCAGTCATGCCATGACAGATTTACTGTAGTAACTTTTTTCGAGGAGTATGGATAGGATATAATATACACGTTTCGACCTCAAAAGTCTTTTTTACATTTACTTACACGAGTTACACGTTGGTCCCACAGCACCATCACCACACTGACACCTGTTGGGGGTTACACAACTACCTCCGTTCAAGCATGGGGGGTTGCAGATTGCTGTGGCATTTAAATACATTTGTGTTAGTGAGTAATGCCTCTTATTTATTTCATGGATAGCATCATGATTAACAAGCATAATAAACGCGATGTCCACAAGTTCCTACAACACCATCGACTTACAGTTTGTTAGCATTTCTTTGCATTGAATACTTTATCCCAGCACACATGCAGATATATTTCAGAACAAAAACTATTATGCGAATCTTCAGCTTTAATGTCATTTCCTAACACAGCCGAAACGAAGATGGTGACAAGTTAACCCAGCGGACAAGAGTTTCTTGAAGACAGAACGAGACTCGACAGTCACCACCCTTTCGCTCCGAGATTTCGTGTACTCAATTTCCTGCATGGCTTTATTACAGTCATATCCTATAATGATGCGTCTGGTGTGGAAGGAAACCTGAATACTAGTAGCCTATGTACCATACAGTTTTCCTCTCGCTCTGTGAAGGTTCATTCTCTAAATGAACTAACACAAAGTGAAAGTCAATTCTTATATTTTTTGTGTCACTATTTTTACCTCAAAGGATGTAGACCTTGATTTATACACAATTATATTTAGTACGTGTGACTTCATGTTTACATTGACAACCATACAACAACCAGGTGTATCGCGGAATAAAATAGTTCCGCAAAACGAGAGGTGACATGAGCTCATGTACGCTCAACATTCTCAACAGGAACACTTTTTGTAGTTTCTGTACAACAAATGTACTCAAATAATAACCTCATTAGTTGAGTCAGCTCTTCTAAGAATAACAGCGCGTCGTAATACATTTACTTCAAGTACAGAACGTCAAAATGACCTACACGAAAAACGTAACGGGAGATACTTCCGAAGTTATTAGTGAACTTGTGGCTATAACAAGTAATTGTCATCACTCATCAATTGGCCGATCACTGAACGGTGATTGTAAAGGTGTGTCAATTTTACTGAACCGCGAGAGAAACGTCACCATGGATAGATATATGAGAAACCTTATTTGTCCAAACACTGTTAACATACTTTGAGAAACATTAACAAGATGAAAATAACCTTGCCAAAACTGATAATCAGGGTTGAAATTAAAGTGTCAAATGTTCTTAGAGTGTAACACAAAACTAATCTCTGAGAAAATGGCATCACAAGTCAGTATCTCGTGTGTCCGCCATGTGCATGATGACTGCCGTCCAACGTCAATACATGGAATGGATGAGGCGGTTGATGAAGGCCATGGGCACTTGAGCATACAGTCTGAGGAACGCCTGACGCAGTTCAGCTGCAGTTGTCGGCCTTGGTCGGACGTCATTAGAACGTCTTTTAATCTCGTCCCACAGGTGCTCAATGGGATCGTAATCGGGAGGGCAGGCCACTGAATGGTTCTGATGCCATTCTGCTGGAGGAAGTATCTTGTTGCTCTCGCAGTGTGGGCACGGGCGTTATCATGCTGAAACTCGTGCCAAATGAGGTATGGCGTGTGGTCTCAAGACTTGATCAATGTACCGAGCTGCTGTGACACCACTGCATCTCCCTGGACCGATGTTCTGGAAGACCACAGGGCCGACTCTCTGTGCAAGACCAATTCCTACCCACACCATGATGCTCGGACCACCCCACGAGTCTCTCTCAACAACACAAGCCTCCGAATAATGTTTCCCACGGCGTCGCCAGATTCACTCTCTCTGCCATCTCCCGTTGACATCCAGTAACGGATCTCGTCTGAGAAGAGGACTATTTGCCACTGCTGGTGGCGTCAATGCTGGTGCTGTGTTACCCACTGAAGACGGTCCCGGCGATGACGTGGTGTCAGAATGCGTCCTCGGTGTGGCCTGTGACAGTGAAGGTGTCTGCTCGTCAATCGACGACGCACGGTGTCCGCACTCATGTGTCGCTGGTGTGTCCCCATGGTCTGTCGAGCAGTTTCCGCAGCAGTAACAAAGCGATCTTGAAGATGCTGTCGCACAATCTGACGATCCTGACGTCGGGTAATAACCCTTGGTCTTCCACTACGTTGTCGGTCACCTGTAGTGTTGGTGTTCTGGTACTGTTGCTGGAGCCTGTTTATGGTCCGTACGTGGACTTAAAATGAATCGGCTACTTGCCGTGCGGTTTGTCCAACTTGCAATCGTCCAAGGGCTTGGTGTCGCTGATTTCTTGTCAATCTTGGCATATGGTAGCAATTCAATAACGAATGAATGTCATCCGATCTGGGTGGATTTTATAGGGCTAGAAATGGGGGAACGCATGACAGTCATTGTGCATTTCCTTTTGCACGGAACTCACGTGCATCGGGTTACCATGGCCGTTGCCGTGATGCGTTTGGGCGATCGGTTTTATTGTCATCTGCTTTGTTTTTTTATCATCAAATTTAATTTTCCGGACAAGTTAATGTTAAATTTTGGAAACTTTGACACAAATTACCCAGATATTTAAATGGCAACTTTTCATGCAATGTTACTTGGGGTGACGTTTCTTTTGCGGTTCAGTATAGATACTAAGGTACGTTCATATATTGCTGAAGACTGTCACAGTCGTTTAGACGCGGATCGAGTCGACACTACGGTTGTTTGGATGTGCTTTCCTTTCGTTTTATGCTCTAGGATGGGTTGTAGCGAGGATATCCTTGAATGGACATGCAAACAAACTCTCTGACTTATCCCAATGTATGCTAAAACGCGAAGTTCAAGGTTAAAGGGTCCTAATGATGAGAAGTAACGCTTCTGTATTTATCCCCAGGGGCTCCTCCAGGAATGTGGAAGTAGTCCGTCAGTGTTTACGTCATTTCAAGAGCACGGTCTCGTGAAAAACATATGAAAGTCAAATTGTGTCGTTTATACTCTTATGAACGTCAATTTCGCGGTCATGTGACCGACCTCTCGTCCAATGGAAAAGACCTATTTCGTATAAACTGCTACATCAAGAGAAATGGAAATGCCTCAAACAGTCATTGCCCCAATAGGCCTTGCCCATTTCTTAATCGGAACGACCATGACCTATTTCATCAGATCCTTGTATTACACCAGGGGAGATAACGCCAAATTTCATTCTTCATGATTAAAGGATTATTTTGATTACTTTTGATTTAAATGATCAACTTCAATTTTGATTTCACATAAAAATACATAACTGAGTATGTTAACATTGATAATGTTAAACCCTGAACTTACCCACGTCACATTTCTCATTGGTGGAAACTCGCCATCCAGGGCAGCAGAAATAGACAGTCCGACAGTCCGGCACTTTGTACCGCTTATAATAGCAGCATCTGAAGAGACATGAGGTGAGGTTAACTGGGGTTTAACGTGGCATTCAGAGTAAGATCACTTACCATGAGGTCAGCACGCCCTTGTGATTGGCTGTTTGTATCAGTCCGGAATTATAGGCTTAATAGTGCTACCCCACTGAGATACTATGTCGTAGTTCACCATGGATACCCCACTCAGACACATGATACTGACTTCCAGCCGTTATCGAGCAGGGTAGCATCAAGTACCATATTTAACGTATTTTGATATGACGCAAAAGAGAGACATGGATGTACCATTGATATACCGGCTGTTATAATATGTGTTTTATATTAGATGTTGTATGAAATTCCCTGCCTAAACATAATTACCATTGTAATGCATGGTAAATCCACGAGAAAACTGTTTCACAAAACATAAGATCTTTAACTTTTATCATATGATTAGTAGACTTCTCGATGGAATAAAGCCAGCGGAGAAAACGGTATCCGTTTGGATCACATACGGATAAAGATGCAAATATGAAAGGTGAGGTAGGTACTACTTTTAGTGTTTACAAACAAAATGGCGCCGCCCTTGTCAATCAGCGATAGAGTCGGAATTAACCATCGGTGAATCTGGAGAAACTACCGGCATAATTGTGATCATTATCAAAACAGTAGTCTACGATACTGAAAATAAGTGTATAACTAGGACGTAGATTAGGACATTTACAAGTTATGGCATTTTTGGAGATATAAATTGCGAAACAATTTAGGAAGGACACTAGTCCAGTGGGATCCGTTTCCATATCTGTGTTTAGAGACCTCTGCGGCTTGAGTCTTTTCCCCCAATTTGAGACAGTTGGATTTGGCCGAAATATGCTCGAATTGTTACCTTGGTTCAATATGTCGCTGTGTGTACATCTGACTTTGCACTTCGTAACGTTGTGACAGCACAGAGAGACTTAACTATCGTGACGTCTCATAGACTAGGGTAAAGGGTAGTTACTCTTGCGGGCGGAGCTCAGGAATGCCGCGAAAGGCAAGTTGAAACAATATGAGTAGGCAATTGTTATTTTGCCTCCAGATCTATGTAGTTACGCCAAGAAACAGGTTACAGTTGGAACTATATTGACTGTTGTATATACTGTTCTGTACTGTACTGTACTGAAGTATATATACTTATGCGCACATTCCAGGAAACTTTGTAATGTTTAGATCGTGTTTAGATAGAGATGAGAACAGGAGTTTCGCGACAGAATTATGAATGACTAATTATAAAGAGGTTCTCACGCTTGTGTGTTTGGGGATGGTATATATCCTGAATTAGAAATAAATACTATGTATTTAGGTCGCTGAGGCAAGCTTAATACAATGTGTATTCCTAATACAGGATCTTTACCATCCCAAAACACACTCGCGTTAACCTCTAGTAAAGTTGCGTCATTGGAATTGACATCACGTGTTTTCTAGTCATATATTTAACGAAATACTGTACTTACGCTCTCCATGTTCTGTACGCACACCGATACTCCAACCTGTACTCGCAGATTCTTCGTGAACATACACTACTGCAAGGACAGATATGTTCGTTAAACAAAATAGCAACGTGGTCGAAATCCGTAGATATCCAAAGGAAAGCAATATACTAAAACGAAGACATCAGGACAATCGACAAATAACCGCCATAAAGAAATGCTAGCATGCAGAAAAAGAACGTGACACGTCCATAGTTCACGGGTAAACAGGTAGGTGAAACAGTTCATTTCCGAAATCCAACAAGAATAAAGTGGAACAAAACGTAAGAACCGTGGACAAAGCCCTTGTGTTTAATATATGAAGTAAACGAAGGTATTAAACTCTAATTAAGTGTGCTTGCAAAACATGTCAGTAGTAAGAACACAATACCTTGTACTCTCAGCACCTTTTTTAATGTGACAACTTGTGTTGAGGTTACTGTAAAGCCCATGTAGAAGTAGCAATAAAGCCAAAAACACACCATTGAGGCATGCATTTCGGTATTTGGCGAAACTAGGAGGTAGAGAAATAATTACAAACTTTTGTCTTTTACCTTCTTAAAAATATGTATGTATGAAATTTAATCTTCAGAAATTTACAGAAATTGATTTGAATTTTCAATTTTGAATTTGCAACTGTTCTATTTAAACAAATCACCACCACACAATTATGGTCGATATATATTTATCTTATTAAGAGCTCGTTTTTAAGTTGAAATCGTAATATATATGTGATAAGTAAGCAGACATCCTCCGTTGTCACCACATCAAGGTATGTCAAGGTCACTAGAGGTTACATTTTGAAGTAAGGTTACAAGTATAAGGACATTTCGGATTAATTCTTGAAAACTAATAGTCATTTGAGCAATCAGTTCAGATCAACTCTAACCTAACCTATCATATATATTGATTGTTACAAATGTGAAATGACTAGTAAATAGTTTTATTCGGAAGGTCTTGTTATGATGGTTGTGAGACCTATTATTACCACTCCCTATCTTTGCCACAAGTAATGTGGTTGCAGATGACAGGATTACAATTAAGGTGAAGGTTACTCGGTGTGAAGTCGAAGTCCCTAAACATCAATACAGTAAACTACGTTTATAACGAACACGCTTATAACGAACTGACGGATATAACGAACTTACTTTTTTGTCCCGACTATTTGCTGTAGTTATGCTGTATATATGCTTATAACGAACTACGGTTATAACGAACTAAAATTAGTGGTCCCTTTGAGTTCGTTATAACAGACAGAAAGTCCAATGCCTCTAACTACCTTAATAACAAAGCACTTCCAGTTAAATAATATATCTTCCTGTATTCTGTTTCAAAGATTTACTGCACTGGGAATTGTTATATCAGAAGCGAGTGTTGTAACTTTATTTTTATGGTGATTGTCAGTGACTGCAAATGATAGAAGCGCTGGTAAAATGTCACGTGAAGTTCGTTTCCAGAATTTAGCAGCATACATCAGCAGCGTTTAAATTTGAATTATCGCCACAAGTTGTTGTTGACAAAGATGGGAGGCTTGATCGTTTGAAAATCTTCGGAAAAGGACTATATGTACACTGAGTGGAACAGAAACTATATCTCTTATCATATGTTTGGTTTTCAATTGAAAATATGTTAAATTAACGACATTATTTGTTAAGCCAAATGAAAATATATAAATACACAAATGTGGTAACCTGATCATTACAAATAACACAACGGAGCGAAAATATTGATTAAGTATTGGCAAATTATCTCTTAAACTTAATATTTTATCTCTGAAAAATTTGTTGAAAATAATTTGTTGATCTATCGTTGTTTAACTTCATGCTTAAAATGATTCAAGGTCGTTGCTTTTTTTCAAATTAAATTTACACTTACAAACGAAACAATAGCAAGTAACAGAATGAGATCAAATACATGTTCAGTCATGATAATTTCCCTTATTCCAAATAATACAAACTGATGATCATCCAAATACAAATATTTAACACAGAGGAGCCGTTGCCTGTTACCCGAGTCAGAAGATCTTTCCAAACATATCTGAACAAAGCGACATTCACAGAAAACGTAAAATATTTCCTTCGTTAGCAAGGCAAAACAAAGTGCACTGATCATCATCTGACATTTTAATCTTAAGTAAAAACAAATGTGTTCATATGTGTGCAGTAATATTAATCAATCGTGCAAGCATCTAAGTTTAGTGCGCCGGCCTTGGTTATTGTTAAAATTAATGGTTTGACATACATTTGGGCTCATACGAGATTAATATCATTTGTAAAGGTACAGTTGTTCCATCTAAGTTGTGATTTTGACAAGTTTTGTAAGTTAGTAGAGTGGAATTGTATTTTTATATCAAACTGACTGAGACCTACAGCTTGCCAATATGGATTGGAACCATCTGAGCGGCAACACAGTAGTGTTATGAGACGCATAAATGTGACATAACAGATCAAACCATTGGGCGAATCTGGGAAACTAACTGTTCACACAAAACATATAGCACATGCAGCTGCAAGGAATATATCTCGGCATTGGGTTCGGTGTCTTATTATAAGTACAATGACCTACACTCGACAGCAGTATCAATATGTCATCTTGAAATAACCAACACAATGTAAATATATGCATTATTTAGTTATCGACACGCTTGAAATGTCACACATATATCAATTGGGCGCATTTTAATGTGTGGGGCGGTAGGGTAGCATAGTGGTTAAAGCGTTCGCTCGTATTGCAGGAGGCCTCGGTTTGATTTCCCATATGCGTAAATGTGTGAAGCACACTTCTTGTGTCCCTGCGTGATATTTCTGGAATGTATCTAAAACGGCGTAAAATCATTCTCACTCACTTACACACTCATTATGATTAGTATTGAATGAATCGCGTGTGTAAAAATAATCCCTGGAATGATTATGACAAAAGGAATGTTTTTCAAATGTCGAGGTAAGAGATTATACCGCTCGGAATGTGAGTGTTCAAGCACAGCAGAGAAAACAATCCTCTATGAATGAATGAATGAATACTCTTTATTTCCCCCAATGATTTGGAGAGTAGTACATACAATTACATTACATTATTTGACAACGGCAATGACAAAATACATATAAATACAACAGATCGAGCTGGGTAAGCAGTAGTGAAGTGATGCATGAAACTGTATTTACATGATGTGTGACATAGCGTCACAAATACAATATGGATGTTAAGTTCCATGAGCTGACATGTTTAGCCACGATACTCATGAATGTTGCCCAGCTGTCAAGTGTCATGTCCTGGACCACATCTGTAATGGCACCGAGGTATGTCAGAATCTTGACGGCCTCACTAGACGTGTCCCTCAAGTCTGAGATAGGTGTCAAGGCTAATATTGTCAAATAGAGACTCAATAAGCACATTTCTCTGTTTCATTAGGCCATCACATTAAAGCAATTGGTGCTTAACAATGTCATCACATTCACAGTTACAGATAAGACACAGTCCAGACGTTACAGGTAATATGCCGAGCTTTACAAGAGCATATACAGGGGGGGGGAAGCAATATCATACCATACACACAGAGACCAGAGACGATGTGGGGCAAGGCGGGTGTGGATAGCACTAAAAGTATGCATGTCTGGACGTTGTTGCAAAGTATTTCTCCAATTCATATTTTCAGACCATGCTTTTCCATACACTATTAGATGGAAATTCCCCAGAGTTGGTTAGTTTATCTAAGAGGCCTGAGAATCCATACTTTTGACCCACATTCAGTAGATCATGTGTTATGGATCTGGCACTGTGTGGGAGAGTGGTGACATACGGGGATAGTCTGAGATAGAAAATCGGCTTCACAATGGTTGTGCATGCTGCTCTACAGAGTCGTCCCAGAAAGAGAAGCTTCATTTTCTCCACCTTGCCCAGCATTGACCACAATCCTAGAACCTGGGTTGTAGCAGCTGTAGAGGATCTCCTGTGGAGGTTTTGGACTCGTCGTGCAAAGTAGCGCTGTAGGGTTTCCATCTCACTGATCTCACGGTTGTTGATATTGGGCCAGAGCTCACATGCATAGAAGGAAGTGGGGAAGATCACTCGTTGCCAGATATTCGATGAAGATACTGGGCTCAATCCTCCAGCTCTAAGACCAACATTTCTTAAGAAGTTGATTGTCTGTCGCGCCTTAGCACAAGCCCTAGTAGTTCGTTCACTTGCTTTTTCCGTGTGTATCAGAGAGCCGGCATAAATCGTACCGCTTTGGATCTTCATTGTCACATCTCCAATTCTGAACACAGGTCTATTACAATGTCTTCTGTTATTGCAAAAAAACAAGACAGAGCTCTTATACGCGTTATACGTCAGTCTCCAGCGCCGAGCATACTGGTGGATAGTATCAAGAGACATATTCAGTCCATGTACACTCGTACTCACAACAGTAGTGTCATCAGCCAGTACTACCGTTGGGATGTGCTCCTTACCAACAATTAGTCCACATTGTAGATTATCAAGCTGAGATATCAGGTCATTAATATAGACTAGAAACATCCATGCTGAGAGCACGCGACCTTGTCCTACTCCTTGTTGAACATTGAACAAATCACTTGTCCTCCCATTGTATTTAACACAAGCACTTGCTTCTTGGTAAGATTGACGAACAATGTGCCATGCACGGCCTTTCACACCAAGATTGTATAGTTTCAGTAGCAGCCCCACATGCCATATCCTGTCGAAGGCCTTTTCGTTATCCAGAAAGGCAACATATATATTTGAGTGTCTATCTTGATAATAGGAAATAGCCTCTTTTAACACATATGTAGCAACACTGGCGCCATGCTCTTTCCGGAAGCCGCACTGGAGACGATGTGGGAAATCAGGATTAATAGATTTGATGTAGGACTCCAGTCTGTCTAGCAACAGCCTCTCAAATACCTTCCCCATCACGGATGTTAGAGTGATACCGCGATAATTAGCTGGGTTGCATTTATCTTTATTATTCCCTTTGTAGATGGGAATAATAGTTCCAGTTATCATCATGACAGGCGTGTAACACGTACTGATCATCATATTGTAGAGGTGTGCCAGAT